GATTTTGGTGGGATCACTTGATTTTCAGGAGAACAAAAGGGGGATCAGTCATAACTGAGAACCCAAAAGGGGGGATAACCAAAAACTTTGGAAGAACTCAGAGGGGGGACCACCCGCCACCGAAATGATCCCCACCATGGAAATGATCTCCGCCACCGAAATGACCCCCAATCACCACCGAAATGATCCCCACCACCAAAATGATACCGGCGGTCACCACCGAAATGATCCCCGGAATATCGGGCATGGAATTAAGAGGACTACAAAAACTGGACAACAATTTAGTGCGTGCTTTTTATTTATTTATACTGCATCTTTTTTACGGTGTGTAATTTACCTTTTACCGCACTTTATTTTGCAGTAAATTGCTTTTTTTTGTTTTAACACTAGACAATGCTTGTTCAAAAGATGCAATTCACTTATGTCTTCTATTTCTTCGAATTTTTTTTTATGTTTTTGCAAGAAAATCTTCTTAATAAAATTGTGTTAAAGCACAATAAGTCAAATCTTGCAATCAGGTTATGTCTTCCTGATGATGTCATGACGACAGTGATGACGTCAGTTACAGGCTCACATTACAAAACGTGCTTTCCAATTAGTTTCGGTACTTGCACTAGCTGCTGTAGCTGTTCCCTGTTCAAGGCGGATTTATGTAGTTCCTTAAAAAAATGTTAAAATTTTGAAAATAAAATCAGTGTATCAAACTGTTATTAGTCTGATTGCTTTCTCTATTTTCCTCTGTTTAGAATCGTGTTTGCATGAATAAACGAAGAATTTAGAATAGATAGCAAAGTCCCAAATCCATTTAAGCCAAGGTTCCTAAAATTTATGACAGGATCATTTCGATTGCGAATAGGTATCATTTCGGTGGTGATTGGGGATCATTTCGGTGGTGGAGATCATTTCGATGGTGGGGATCATTTCGGTGGCGGTACAGCCACTCAAATTTGCTTGGAAAATGAAGACGTTAGTGGGAGGATCGCAAAAGTCATCAAATGTTATTAGGGGGGATCACTTCAGTGAAGTAACATTCAAAGGGGGGATCGGCTAAATTTCACCTTGTTTAGCCCCAAATCCTCTGCCCCTTCCCAGGCGATGACTGGTCCCTAAAGTGTGAATTTCTCTTTTGGTACCCAGGCTACCTCCAAATGCCTGTCTTCTCCTTGCTTGAATGGTGGCACATGTGTGGACAACTGTCTGATTGGCTCTCAGATCACCTGCCTATGCAGGTTGGGAATTACTGGTGACAGGTGTCAATCATACAAAGGTAATAGTGGACATAAGGTCAGCAAGAACATATCATACTGTTGTACTCTTGAAAACGGCATAATTAAGAAGGGCAAAGAAATTAACAATGGGGTGGGCACTTAATGATTTCAGTTATGGAATTTTGAAAACTGGACACATACAACTAGACACAGTTATAAAAGATGAATCTCTGCAGGCAAATTTTTTAAATCAAGTCTTAAGTATATTAATAAAATTGTCTTAGTTTAAATTGCCCTCTTTCTTAAATTTGCACCACACATAACTGAACATAATGAAAATAGGGAATCAAAATAGGCAAAAATACTGCTATAAGAAATGCAAGTCATATAGTGCATAGTTTTTCCCTTTAAGAACATGGCAAGTGCCTCATATAAGCCTTAGGCTCTCTATTGTGGTATTTATGATCCCCTAGACCCACTAGCTGTTGGTGTTTCTAAAGCTTGCAACATCTGCATGGTTTAATTGTGAGTACAAATAAGCACGGCCCAAAGTCATATCACCATCACCCAAGCTAAGCTACAACACTAAAGAATTCCAATTCTAATCATTATTTTCCTTGATTTTTTATGGCATCGGGGGATGAATAACTCAACATTTTACTGGTCAGGAATGTCCTTGTCGTATTTCTCTTCCGTTTTCATTCCAGCTGATTTGTTTCATTACGACATGGTTTTCCCGAGTAAACATGGTGCCAGTTTTGCAGCAATCACCTTGGACAGTAAAATTGAAATGTATACTATGACGTTGTGCATGTGGCTTCAAACAATTGATCCGGGGCCTTTTCATCTCTTTTCCTACATGACGTTTGATGGGACTAGAGAACTGTCTTTAGGATGTGAAAGTAGTGAAGATTGTGAACTGGTATTGCTTCGTGAATCCAGGTTAGTGTAGCACATATCATCCCCCAGTACACCGGTCCACATAGACAGCTCTGTGTCCCAAATCAAGCACAGTAACAAAGCCCTGACTTCGAATACAAATACAGAACCATAGCCCCGTTTTCCAACCAATTAGCACCGATGAACAGACCCGTTCTCTGTGTATTAGCACAAATTCAAAGCACTGTATTTTGGCATTAGCACAGTCTTCCATATTCAGGCACCTGACATCGCCCCGTCTCGTATGCTTTTGCATATGCATAGGCACAGATGTATTGTCCAGTCAGTTCCCACTCAAAAGCACAGCTGTCCCTTGCATTAGTACAGGTGCACAGCCCCGTCGTCCATGCGATGATCAACCACGTCTATCCAAGTCCGTGTTGCACATGTACTGGCAAGATTCACAGCCGCATCTTTGACGCATTTGCAGAGATGTACAGCATCTTTTTGTAGCATACACATGCCCTACATTTAACCCAGTCAGTTTAAAATCCAGAGTGTTATGCAGTGGCTGTTTTGGAAATATGTGGACCTTTACACGAGAGAAATTATTCATGACACCAAAGGAAAAAAAAATTTGTTCTTTCTAAAACTGTGTTCACACTTTATCAGATAGCTTTTGCGCCGCCAGATTGGGTTTCTGTTCACACACAAGACAGCTGTGGTGGCGTGATTTCTGTGACTGGAGCGAAGGTGCACCTCGCTGATCACAAAAGTGGAGCGTCACATATTGGATAGGAGTTTTTGCCATACTTTGGTGTTCTACATGTGAACACTTATTCCGCCTGTCACAGAAGTTAATAAGCAGTAGCGAGGACTGGAATCCACCTAGAAGGAAGTAAATATTCAAGATTTAGTGTACCAAACCCTCTCAGCCAACCGCGCCAGCACGATGTTTGATGTGTGAACGACTTGTACAGCCCCAGGTTGTTGCTGTTTATTCTGTACCGGACAGCTTTTTGTGGCGCCATGGTGTAGTGTGAATATAGCCTAAACCACTCTAAAGTGCGTAATTTTTTAAAACTGGTACGGAACTCTCTAGAGCCTTTTTGAATGTTACCTTATCTTTATAGTTTTTTTAAAAATAATATCCTCTTCTCAACAGAAAAGTTAGCCTGATATCTATAAATGATGGGAAATGGCGTTGTGTTTGCCTGACTTGGGGAAATCGTACAGGGAACTGGACCTTATACCTCGACGGTGCACGAAGAGCCTATGGAAGCAATGTAGGAACTGGACAGGCAATAAGCGGAGGAGGAAGGCTGGTACTGGGTCAAGAACAGAAGAATTCTAGTGCCCAGTTCTTCAACTCGACCAAGTCATTCATCGGCAACATCTCTCAGTTTTTCATACAGAAGAAAATGTCAGCTAAGCGTCTAGTGAAGAAACTGTCAAGTGATTGTCATGGCAACATTGAATCGAATAAAAGCGTTGTCTTTTGGAGTGAATTCCAAAATAAAATTCGGGGTCAAATACAGATTCGACGGAATTCGGCATGCAATGCTTCAGGTATAGTAAAGGTATTGTTAAGATTCACGCACAGAAATTCCATACTGATGACGTGTCACTACCCAGATCTGGGTACTGTTCCTGATTGGATGAAACAAATTTTCAACCAATCAGAAGCACTACCCAGATCTCATTGGCATTTAAATTCTGGGCTTGTTTCTAAGAAATCATTTCGCAGGGAAATCAGTGATGATGGTGTCTCAAAATGTCAGCTGTTCTCTCAGGCTAATAAAAATAATACAGTGAAAAATAATATAAGCGGTCACAAGGGTTAGTAACTCTCTGACTTTTCCTCCACCATTTTCTGTTAAATGAACCCGCACGTAGCAGAAATCTGAGAGTCTCAATGGGGTAGTGACTTGGACGGTTGACATTTACATTTACCATGTACAGCCTACCGCTCACATTATTTTGAGGATTATTTGCTGCGGCGGTTAGTTTTTTTTGACGGCTAATTTTTTTCTAGTTTTGATGGTTAACGGTTGAATTTTAGAGCTTTTGACGGTTGACGGTTATCAGGTGGAAATTTAGTCCAAGAGCATGGCTAGAAATTTTGGACAAGCATGCGCTCTCGAGACAGCATTTTGGCGTTACGTTGTGTCACAAAACGCCTCAATGTTTATAGGCTTTAATGGAAGAATAGATACAAAATCAATCCTACCTCAATAACTGAAAGTAAAATCCATTTCGTTCACTTCAATTCTGCAGAGCAATCGAGGAAAGCTAAAACTATTCCAGAGAATTGCACTTCTCCTAGTCGTAATCGCTGAGGTATTCAACTTTGAAGATGCGACGAATTTTTGTAAGAGGCCCATATTATGGCGGAATGCTCAAAACGGTGAATCCAGCTTGCGATGAAGGCCTCCTCAGTTCACGGCGACTTTGAAAAGCCAAGCTCTGAAAAACGCTACAGGACATCTCTCTGTAGTCTGTTTCTGTTGCGGTATATCTTGTGTCTCAAACAAGCCAAAATAGAGGAAGCCATTCTCGGCTAAACCTCAAGTTCTTTGCTGTGCCATATACAATTCATCCAAATTTCCTCCAAAACCCACTCGTTGAAAAGGTTGTTTCACGGACATTTTATTGCCGACATTTTTTGGGCAATACTTTCAGTCAGCAGCTTCAGTTGGACCACAAACAACTCTGAATTTCATCACTCAAGGTGTCCCCTAAACCTATGAGCCGGGAAACTCGCAAAAATCCAGCGGAGTTATCCATTGCGTGACAGATTGTATGTGAATGTCACGAAATTCGATGTCCGTGATTTTCTAGCCATGTTAGGTAAGATTAATAACTCGGTCAGTGTAAAACGCAGACTGCGGACTGCAGACTGCAGACTGCGGACCAGGGGTAAAATGCAGACTGCAGACTGAGAGTAAAATGCAGACTGGGGTAAAATGCAGACCGAGCATAAACTGTAGTTGTGGAAAGGTTTAAGGGTCAAAAAATCCCGCAAATACATGTAAACGAACACTTACTTGAATACATCTGCTTTCACAAATCCATTCAGGACTTTCTTCTCTAGAACGTTGTCGACGACCAAAAAACATATAATCGAAATCTTGAACCTTTTTTGCGTCCGAGAGACCTCACGCTTCAAGTTTAGACGCGAAGTTTTCGATATACGTGACCAGGGACCGTGAATTGTTACAACACCACGATGTTTACGCCTAAATGGAAGCTGCTGACCCAAAATACTGTACAGGAAGAATTATGGCGATAAAGAGGGAGTAAATCATTCCAACAACAAAGAAAGATGTTCTGCAGGAAATTTGGATGACCTTCTATGAAAGTATTGCAAATCAAGGTACACAGACTTAACCTGTTCGGATGTTCATTGAAACTTCTGGCGAATGTGCAATCCACTTCAACTAGGAAGGGAAGTGTGTAACTGATACCGGCTAGCTATTTCACTGATTTGGAGAGGAAGGAGCACAAATGTTTAAAAAAGTCTACAGTCTTTATTCTGCATTTTACCCCAGTCTGCGTTTTACTCTCAGTCTGCAGTCTGCATTTTACACTCTGTCTGCATTTTACCCCTGGTCCGCAGTCTGCAGTCTGCAGTCCGCAGTCTGCGTTTTACACTGACCGATTAATAACTTCTCTATAAATTAATATGAACTGTTGTGTTTTGGAGGCTGTCTTTGCTTTCCACTTATATAAAATGTCCAAATATTTTCAGAAATAAGCAATAGTGAGATTTGAAATACCTTGAAACTTCTGACGGTTAACGGTGAAAAAAATAACCTTTTTCGACGGCTGACGGTTAAATTTTAGGCCATTTGACGGCTGACGGTCAACCCCATTGGCACCCTCAAATCTGCGATCCAGCAGCGGAGGGTGGAATGAGTGGCGTGGGCGACTGGGCTCCGGCTGGGTTTAAATTAATCTTCCATCAGGCCATAGTTTTCAGTTTGCTTGTTTTGTTGTCGTTGTTGTTGTTTTTCTTTTGGAAGAAAGACACGATAGGTTCCACCGTAAAACCTTCGCTGTAGTACACCTATAGATCTTAATGCTTAAATGCTGGACGGAAGAAGATCGACGGAAGGATTGAGCAGTGGGTGAATGGTTTAGCGAGATGTTATTCCAACCAAGTCGCCCGGGGTTCAAATACTCGCTCCGGTCAAAGTAGACTTTCCAAAAAGTCCTTCGTCCGATTTAAACTCTTGAGGTCGACTCGTAGCAAGTCTAACGTCAAGGTAGCTCTCAGTTCAACTTCTCAGTCGATCATGATTATAACCGTATTTCCAGTTAAGTTGGGGGTTCTCACTCAATTGGCCGGGGGGGGGGGGTACTTCCTTATAAGAGGTTAATGAGGATGTGCCGCTGGATGGGGTCGCATTTTCACGACTGGACTGACTATAATGAGGTCGCATATTCAATAGAGTTACTAGAATAGGGTCGCACATTTTCGGATTTTTGGGGATAAGACAGTTCTTCATATTTACGGTTAGCAAACGTACCAGAATGTTTGCACTGTAGACGAAAAGTAAACTGTTCTTCATTCAATCTAAAAAATGGGTCAATTTGTAAAAATAGAAAGTAACTAAGTTGGGATCGCGAATATTACATATTTGCCCAAAAGTGACTAAGATAGGGCACGGTCTATAATTGGACACAGAATAGACTATAATGGGGTAGGGGTTCTAAGAGGCCAGCCGCATATACCCAGCAAAAATAAACCCAAGTACACCCCCGGGTCAATTGGTAGGTTTTATTTAAAGCATCCCTTTTTAAAAAAATGAATAAATGAATGAATTATTGGAATTAAATGAATGGCTGGCTGGATGGATGGATGAATGGTAATGTATCAAAAGATCGATCAATCTATGAATAGATGGATAGATAAATGGATCGATCGATTTATGAATGGATGGACTTATATTATTATAACTAACGATCATACACACATTCCCATTTACAATTCCAGGCGAAGAATCGAGATTTGTCCTGAATTTCCCAGCTCGTTCAACCAGCAACACCGTTGTTCCACAAGCTTCAATGCCATCCATGACCGCGGGAACAATCTGCTGGTGGATGAAGAACAACTTGAATAATTACAATCTTTTTTCTTATGTTGCCCCCACCGCTTCGAATCCAGCACTGGAGATTTACTTTGGCATATTTTGGAAATTCCAGCTTGGTTTAAAATCACCTAAGTACGTTATAATTACTATCCATAACTGTGGCAAAATACAATAATTATTGTTTGAGGTTAAATATGAAGCAGCATAAAAACCAAACTTAAGTTACAAATCGGGATGGCCAGAGCTTCAAGTTGCAATGGTAAAACGAATTCGTAACGTGCACCAGGGGTGTCGCTGATAGCTGCTGATAGTTCAAATTCACTTCAGTTTTAGCTAATTTGGTGCCGTGCGCAAAAGTAGGTATTGTATGAATTACGGTATATTTGGGAGTAAGAAAGCTCAGAAAAGGTGGGTTTTCATTTTCGCGTAATTTTTACGTGCGTGCGCACGTATAGTAAATAGAATAGAGGCACTGTATGAAGTTTCGCGCTAGTTCAAGAGGAATGAGCAGTACTCGGGCCGATACTCAGGGCTATAAAATAACTGAAAGTTGAAGGTACTGCCATTGTCCTGCAAAAGGTTAGACCGTTGCGTTTCTCCGACAAACACTTATAAATGTTTAAAAATAGCGGCCTGGCCATCTCCAGTAGATGCAAAAACAGTGCCCTCAATTATTACTTGCGTATAAAAGTGGCTTTTACTTTTTTGGATAGGAATCCTGGTACAAACAATTTGTGAAAGCTTATTTACGGTTATGATACTAAAGTTCCAAGATCGTGCATCCTCATTTAAATCAGTCTCAAGTATACTTGTACTTAATTATCCTGAAGCGAAGACCACAGCGGAAATATTCATAGTCATGCACAGTGAAAGTTTAATTTCTAAACTACGTACAGTCAACCTCCGATAACGGCCACCTCTCGAGCTCTACAACGGCCACTTTCTACTGTCCTCAAGGTGGCCGTTGTAGAGATGTTCAACAGTATCGCCAATGTGGACTCAGTTTGTATTTTGTTCCAGACTTTCGTATGAAGCACCATTCATCGGCGATGATTACTGGCATCACTTATGTGCGATGTGGGATACAGATACGACAGAGTGGAGCCTTTATCTTGATGGAGTGCACCAAATTTCTCAAACGAAAGGACATTTAAGTGGCTACATAGTACAAGGGGGAGGGACGTTTCACCTTGGACAGTTTGTGCAAAACGGAGCATACAAAGTAGCTAAAGCTTACCAAGGCTGGATAACTGGACTCAATATCTGGACGACGAGGCTCTCCTCGAGGACAGTAGCAGCGTTAGCCGAAGAGCCTGGTACAGAGAAGGGAGATGCGCTTTCATGGAGCATGTTTAGACAGGGTATAACAGGAGATGTGCAGATATACAACGACTATACCTTTGAAATGACAGGTATATGTGCTAGGTCTAGCCTTCCACGCAGGCGTTTTTTAGGGGAGCTCGAAATACGAGCTCCACTAAAAACGTCTGCGTACGAGGCTATGCTAGGTCTGGAAATGGTGGTGTTCTTGTTAAGAGCAGATCAACCAATGGCACCTTTGACGTTGTGTAACATTATTCGTCAATTATAATCAGTTTTCCCTGTTTGAAAGATTGCAGACGTAAATCTTCCAAATTGAAGCCAAGAGATTTAAGACAATCTTTAAAAATGGAGAAAATTTTTCGAGTGAATATTAAACTAAATCAGGTAGTAATCAGTAAAGAATGATGTAAATTTCTAAATAATATGAAGAATGAAATCGTAATATATTTGAAATAGAATGGTTACTTTGTGAAATACGGTACTTCGCACCATTAGAAGCACCGCGAAACAATTAGCTTTTAAAAGCAACTGACAAAGAAAGTTTTATCTACTGGTCTGTTCTTCGTTTTTGATCTGGACCTACAAATTTGTCTAAAATTTGGTGTTATTTACTGCATGATTGGATAAAGTGGACCCTGGGAAAGTGGATTAGCCACCGTGGGAGGATTGAGAAACTGACCTTTCGAGCGCTAGCCATTCGTCAAATGTGTGCTTAGTACAAAAATATACCCTAGTCTTTGATTGAATGTGAGGCTGAGCCAGTTGACCATCTCTTGATACAAACCTCCTTGCTATTTTTATAGAAATGATATTACGACATGATTTACGTAATAAAGTAGGAAGGCTGTATCAAAACAGTTCAACTCAAACTTTGCTTCAACCAGCCGCAGCAAATGTTTTCGCTACTTTAGAACGAGAGGGAACCTGGGCCGAGTTAGATTTTGCAAAGACGTCTGAGAACGATCTGGGGACGCACTATTCAGCTATTGGCCAATTTCTTTTCCCTGTCCCCAGTAATATTCCCAGAATTCTTTGCGAAAGTTATCTTTACCCAGTTTCTCCTCTTTTCTTAATTGGCGAAATAGCCGCTTGGGCTGGGCAATAGAGATTCTCTCGTGGACTGGGCTGGGTAGGTCTGCGGATTTGTGTGGTAAGCTGACCTAGAGATGACTGAAGCTTGTTTGGCTTTTCTCCTCTGGTCAAATCGTTCATATTTTCAAGAGGTATGATTCAAATATGAATTAATTAAATAACTCTCAGTTATGAAAGGACTATAAAATTCCCATCTACGCGTCCTGCCCCTAGCCCAAGGTTACCACCACTCAAACTCTTCCTTACTGAGCAAAACGTTGGATGAGAGAGCGGTCATGTAGCAGCTCTCCTACATTACTGTGAGGTGGACAATTTACCGATCAAATGGATTGACTGTATCCCTTTTTTGTTGCAGCCAGGGAAAGTGATTACACTCTTCGCTTTCCCGGATTCTCAAACAACCCAGCCTACGTTAAGTATAATTACGACTACGCGTATGTAATTACTTCCCTCAGCGCTTGTGCCTGGTTTAAGACAACAGCTGCTGCTAATGAAATGACTCTTTTGTCGTACGCAACTAGTCAGCATTTGTCAGCTATTCACTGGTCCATTATTAACGGGACAACCATTCTGATGAATATCAATTCTTGGAATCCCAGGTAAAAGACTTTTCAAATCATCCAATACAACATTACCTTCCTTATATTAGTTTGTAAAATACAAGTAACTTGATCTTCTCATCGCATAGAACAATTCATAATTAAGCCCAACTGGATCTTTAAAGAACCTTTTTGAACAACTCCACGTTCGTGTTCGAACACTTTTTCAGTCGTTTTTGGTTGAAATTCAATTGCTACTGGTTAGAGTCATTTTCAGACGACTTTCTCTGGATCTGCTACCAAGGTTGTGTACATGGCAAAAGGAAGAATGATGGCTGCAGTTCCTCTTCAACAAATGGTATAAAAACGTTTCAGTCTTACGTACGACAAGGCAATGACTATAAGCGCCTGTTTACATGGAGGTGGGGGACCCCAGGTAGGTGAGGTAACCCGCTTAATTGGGGCAACCCGCCTGTCCATACAATCACTCATTTGAATTTGATCACGTTTACATGATAGGTGGGTTGACTATATGAGAGATTTGATGGAAAGGCGAATTATCTCACCTACCTGGGATCTCGCACCGCCATGTAAACAGGCCCTAAGAATATGTACCGAAACTTTTGTCGCAAGCGGAGACTGGACTTGTCCAATTTTTTGCATTTACCCTGAATATGTCTAATGTCCTCTTTTTTAATATCTTCCATTTCCTATTCCTCTTTTTGTTTTTTTAATCATGAGCGCTGAAAGGTTCGGAGCCCCAAAGCACAATCCCCTGAATAGACCGTTTGAATGAGATTACCATGTGTATTCGTTGACTTTGTAGTTTGAAAAATTTTAAACTTTCTTATTACATGTAAATACATATAATATTTTACGTGTGTTTGGTAGTTCTGTAGAGGTCAACAGCATTCTGAATGATGGCAAATGGCATCACGTGTGTATTAGTTGGAGGTCCGTGGGAGGTTCGGTGTGGGTGTATGTCGATCAACGCCTGGATAGCACAGGTTCTGCGTACAAAACAGGAGAATATATCGGGCGTATAGGAACTTTTATGATTGGACAGGTTCAAACTTCAGTTGGTAGGTCTCGTAGGAAACGTCTAGATTCCTTTGCCTACAATGACGTTAACACTGCTTTATTTAACTGCGAATAAGGGATGCGGTTTCACAGGACACTTTCCGTGGTAAATGACCCTTTTACCGGGGGGAATTGCTGAAGTGTTTGTGACCGGACTTTCCCGAGATAAATTTACCATGGGAAACATCCATGGATACCTCAAAAAGAAAAGAGAAACTGCCCATGACATTAAACGTGGTATTAAGCTAGGATGTTGCGATACCCCAGGGCAAGAAAACCAATCAGGATCTTCATTGGACAACAACATGAGAAAGCAAAGAAAATTATTTATTTTAAGAGGTTTCTTTCGCTATGTTTCGGGAAAGATCGATGTTGACATAACAGTTTTTACGTTATCTAAAGGTAAATTTTAAGACAAGATTTCAGCTGATTTGTTGGGCCAGAAGTATACGTAGGAACGATATTTACCAAAAATATATTATATTCCTGACAGATATTCAAAATAGGCTGGAGATGGAATCTAAAGCCCAGATTTAAAAACAAAAAATGGTATATACCTTCGCAAAGTTATCAGGACTAACGTGCGGGATGAAATTTTGCCTACACTATTCATAAATTTTCTCAGAACATGAAATCCTGCCATCCTTGGTGTTTAATTCAGTCATGTCATTCAGTCACCGATGGTTCACTACACTACTAGCAGTCTCTCTTTTTTCTTGGTCCATCGAGCAAAACGAGCGAGACACGCAAACGACCACGCTCGTGAATCAAGGTGCGAGACGTCCGCGCCCGCGTGCACTCCCCCTCGCCCCAACTAAATCTGACGAAAAAGAGAAAATTCTCGCAGTCTAATTCTCTATTTTCCAATTCCCCATAATACACTCTGTTTGCCCCCCAAATTTTGCATAAACCATTGTTTTTAAATGCTCCTGGGAGTATTACATTTTCCCAAGAGCATTTAAAAACAATGGTTTATGCAAAATTTGGGGGGCAAACAGAGTGTATTATGGGGAATTGGAAAATAGTCAATGGTTCACCGTTGTTAATCGTCTGTGTAGACCACGTGATTTTTTCCCGGATTGTGCAAAAAATGATTCCGAGGGGAGGGGACACCTGTACACAGGCTATCAAAAAATGGCTTTGAATCTAAATAACCTTAATCTTTTTCAATCATAGAGTAGGGAATCTTTGAGTTACCATCATTTTACAAACGTTTTCTAACATATTTCAACGCAGGTGTCCCAAGTTCGGATACCACTAAGGCTTTTGTCGGTGAGATAACACGACTGAACGTTTGGAAAAACAGAATGGAGGTAACTGAACGAGCAAGGATCTTGGGCAGAGGGTGCGGCTTTTGGAATGGGAACGTTCTACCCTGGTGTGAACTGAAATCCAATCTATTTGGAAACGTAAACCTTATCCCCAACTCCGAATGTTTTGTTCCAGGTTAGTTTACATTAGCACTTTTTCTGTTACAGTGCATGTCTTTCCGAAAGGTGGTCGCATACTTACTGGTACCATTACTTGAAATTGACTCAGTGATTCTTTGTTACTACACGCGCGTATTTAACCTAAACGGTACAGCGAGCAACCCCATCGTTTTTATGGATGAATTCCCCCGGAGAGGGAAAGAGACACATGATTCGTTCACAGTCGGCCATTATCATTTGCACGCGCGGTAGCGGATCGCAACCTCGTCCCGGGGCTTTTCCCTTAAAAAAATGGAGGTGAAAAGCCTGGGGAGGGGGTTACGCGGATCGGTCACGGAAGTCACCTTTCTCCCTTGTGCTTCCCTCGTATGAGACACAAAAGAAGCCAACATGAGATGATTCAGCGATAATGTATAATCAGTTTCCTTAGTGTGTATTTTACATTTTGGTCAATTGGCTTGGTTATTATAGTGACAGGGAAAAGGTTAATAAATTACAGTCGAGGCAAGTCAAAATTCCCCCATGGCCCATTACTGCACTAACTGTTTCAGTCGTTGTCGCTACTTATAGTATCGAATTCAAATTTGTATTCCTGCACGCACAACAAGGAGGGAATTTTAGGCCTTCTCTGTATTCAGGCAGGTTGAAAAGTGTTTCAAACTTTGAAATTCATATGAAGACACAACCTTGTTCCCGGGTCTTTCTGAGCAGGAGGGTACAATAGACCCTGGGAACTAGCTGCGTTGATGATAACGGACACTAAATCGAGTTCAGAAAAAAGCTGAGTCAAGAGCTTACAAAAATTTTACCACCCCGCGTGTGAATTCACTACTCTTGATGTGTATGCTGAGAATTTAGGATTCAATTTTCGAGAGATGAATTCAATGATAAAATAAAGGGAGATAATGACCCACTATCCTTTCTTGTACGTTAAAATCTACAGGGGTGGGTACGCTTGTATGGCAAGGAAGAACATAATAGACAAGATTCATGTTCTCGTGAGCCTTAATTCCCAATCTCATATCCCCGACCCCCCCCCCCCCCCCCCCCCCCCCCCCCCCCCCCCCCCCCCCCCCCCCCCCCCCCCCCCCCCAAAATATAAAAAAAGGGAGAGAAATGACCCCCTTCCCTTTCTTTAAATTAAAAATCACCAGGGGGGGGACGGTTTTATGGGCAAGAAAAAAAAAAAAAACAAAAATTCCTTTTTCCTGGGCCCTTAATCCCCACCCCCAACCCCCCCCCCCCCCCCCCCCCCCCCCCCCCCATCCCCGCACTCAAACACCAGCCGTGCGAGCTATAGTTGTACTTTCACTAGGGACCCGAGCAACGACGACGACGACGGTAGTGAAAACATTACTTAAAAAATGAATTTGCGTCCTTTTAAACTTTATCGCGTCCATTTAGGACCGCTGAATTCGTCCAATGTAGGAGATTTTTCCTGGAGTTGACTGATTCTTAAGGCTTTATCCATGTTCAAATAGAGAAGGGAAAATTTGTCATAGTATGTCCACGACCTCCATAAAACATCGCATTGGGAGGTTTCACGTCGCAGTCGTGCAGTGGACGTCAAAGAAATGTACTAAAGATCTAGAGCGTGATGTACGTGCAGAGCAGTTGTTTCGCTCATAAAACCAATTGTTTTTTGACTTTGTTGTTGTTGTTGTCGTCGTCTTTGCTTAAGGTCCCTATTATCAACTTTTTTCCTCTTCTTTTAGACGTTATTGTACAAGAAAGACGCAACGAAATGTGTCAAAACAGGATCACACCCGGCCTTCACTGCCATGGCCAAAAAATCTACTCAATGTTTGATTTTGATAATCAGTTAAATGGTGGAAAGCGTCTGCGTTGTTACGTGGAGGACGCCTTGACAAGCAGTGAATTACATTACCTTAAAATATACGACACAGCGCGAGACTCAACGTGCTTCCAGGACTTGGTACAAGAGCTTCTTAATTTAAGACGATGATTCAAAGAACCAATCTGTTTCAAGGACATGCATCGTACAAGAGATTGTTTACTAAGTAAGGATGACCCCTGGGCTGACCTCATGGATTATAGGGTCGTTTATAAACGTTGTGTTAAGGACTGAAAAGGCGAGGGAACCGCTATAAATAAAAAGCTCGAAAGGTTATACCAGTTTGTGCGGCATCACGAATTGCAGCGAACGAGTGAGATTTCTGATACAAAAAAGAGTGCGTAAATACAGTACAAGGCACTTTTTTCCCTTTCTCTCTGGATTCATTCATTTCTCACATGTGACATCCATTCGCTCCTCTGATTGGCCAGAACTCATTTGAGTCTGACATAGCTTTTAGTGAGTAAATCTCAGTGTGTATATGATAAACTACAAGGAACCACGATATAAAACGCTATGTATATTAGAGTTATTCGTTTAAATGTAAGCCGTTAGAATTTTTTATGATGATTTTGGTTGCGAGTGACGAATGGCATTTGTAGTCGCCTTTAACCAGCGGAACATAACCTTTTGGGGGCAATAACTGCCCGTTTCTACTGAATAAATATTAATTTGCATTTTTACGATTATAGCATTTTAAGTGATAATTTAGCAGTACACATGTCTTTACGAAATCGAAGTGATTTAACCGCTTAGTTCATTAAAAGCCAGTTGTTTTGACACCCTTCTCATTCAAATGTTAAATGGCGCCCTTAATTCCAGTGGGAAATGCCCTGGGGACCATGGACTATAGGAAACATATATCGTTTTCGACTTAGTGCTTGAGCTTGCATGGAGGTGGGGGGCTCCGGATAGGTGAGGTAACCCGCCTGTCGATAAAAAAAGAGAGAGATTGAGAGAGAGAAACGGGTGTATTCGCAGGCTACACTCTCGCCCACTCGGGTAGCCAAGAGCACAGGATTCCCTTTATCTTATCCCTTTGCGGATTCAGCCTCCATATACTAGGGATAAAAATCAATATTGTCCGTGTATACGTATTTCCGCTACTTGGAACGACCATCCCTTACTACGGTCAGGGGCACCCAACGTCAATTTGAGGAAAATATCTGTTCGACAGACAATTTGAGATCTAGAATTTTCGGAACATTTGTTGTAAAATTTCTTGCTCGCCTTCCTCTCCTAGGATTTTAGAACATCTAAAAAATGCTATAATTGCCCATTTTTGACGGATTTTTATCCTAAAAAGGTAACCTAGAATTTTCGGGCCTTCTTTTTTCTGGCTTAAATTTTCGAAAAGGTAAGTTTTGATCCCTATAATTTTCGGATCACTAGACTTTCAGCTAGGAAATCCGATCAGATGAAAAAATTTTAGGGGATAAAAATATGCCTATATCTACGTTTAACAATACTATGTTTAACTGGTTTTGAACTATATTCTCGTTGGGTGCCCCTGTACGGTAAACTATGCTTCATTGTGTTTTTTCGGATTGGCCTTTAAAGTAGTATACCAAAATAGCCAGGCCAAGGCCAAGACCACTTTTAAATAGCTTGGTCCGAAATAAGCCTGCGCAACAAGCTTCGCCGCGTAAGCAAAGCTCTTTGTTGTAAAAAACGTTTAAAGCTGAAAAATGCCAGTCATTTTCGCGCGGAAATCCTTCCCATGACGCTGACCGAAACGAGGGGTCACCCCTGTCATTATAACTCCGTCACGCAGTAAGCAGTACTTTCCAGATACCCCTTTCTAAATCAGGAGCTTCAAAATCACGACCCCGTTGGGCGGCACATACCCGTATAGGTAATGTATGGGAGTACCCCCCCCCTCCCCCCGGGCTGAAGGCACACTGTGTTGTGACAGCGGGTCAGATGACATTGGCGCGTGGGCAGTGGTAATGTGATCTCGCGACTATTCATTTCATCCTGACGGATTTCTTGTTTAAAACACACGAAGTACTTCATCCTTTCGAACGAGTACGTGCAGTCCGTGGTACGATACTGAGCTTCACCATGGCCAACCTTGTTCGTCCCTTTTTGTTGCTGTGTTTTCTAGGATGCTCCTTGACCGTTGCTGGTAAGTGTAGTTAGAACAAGACATCTTAAATGCCTTTTATTTCAACGTGAAGTGTTGTTAGGGGAAGCGTTTGCGGATCAATATTATTCGCAGCTCGCAATATGGCTGAATGCCATCATGCTTTACTTATAACAGTATTGGAGAAGGGTTAGTTAAATCTATACTTGCATGAGACATGTCACCTTTAAATCATGATAAGTGAATTTGATAAATTACTACGTAAAGAAAGTAACATAATGATTGGGGTAACATTGTACAATCAATTTGGAATTATTTCCATGGTGTAATTTCATTTAAGCAGTACCACTTGCTTAGTCACTTTGTTATTCTTCGATACTACATTCTCAATTGACGTCTATTCCATCATCAATGCATGGTTTTGCCTGGTAGCGACTTCTATAACAGATCCCGGGGAGTGTACTCACTTATGTGGTCTATACGGGGATCAGTGCTGCTAGACAGGGTATGGTTAATTTTTTACCTCTCTGTCCTAGACAGGGTATATAATTTTGCACGAGTCTGTCCTTAAACAGGGTTTATAATTTCGTTCGAGTCTGTCCTAATTATGAACAGGGTATTTACCTGCAAGATTGATTTGATTTACTAGATGAAATTTACTTGTACTCCAGGTAAACAGAATAAAAGACTATAACGCGAATTTGCTCTATTGCAATTACCAACAAATGGCTTTAAACCTAGACGGGAGTACATTTTGTCCCTCGTCCTAATCAGGGTAATAAAATGGAGGATGTTGTCCTAGGTAGAGTATATATTTTAGGAATTTTTTGTCCTAAACAGGGTCAGGATGTCGCACTCTCGGCGGTCCACCTATACCCAAATATTGCATGGTCGAGCACTCCCCGCCCTCCGCCCTGGGTAAATAGATCAACAGTTTAATACGAGACAAGAGCATTAGCCCTGCAGTACCTTTTAGTAATGAGATTAAAAGTGGGAAGGCAGTTCTTATTGAACCCCGTTTAAGAAGGATTAATTTTACTTTCTAAACGTTGTTGGTAATGTTAATTACACCCTCTTCTTGGAAACGTTTGGAATATGGAAATTTCTCTCTCGATCGGGAGTACAAAAGCCCCTGGTTAAAACAGTCAAAGTTAAAGTCACAGTCCAATATTTTTCATAGAGATCGTCGGGATCTTTGGTTTCATATGTAACGAGGGGACGGGTGTTGGGGGTTTATAGCGATGGGAGGAGGATGGTGCCATTCCCCACGCACATATTTTTTTTTTAACAAAGACGGCAATGAAAACGTCGCTAGAAAATTTAATTTGCTGTCTTTTAAATCTTATCGCGTCTTTTTGGACCCGCTCAATTTGTCAAATGTAAGCGACTTTTCGTGGAGTTGAATTTTGAAGGACCTTGTTTAAACATACAAAAGAGAGGAGAAAATTCGTGGTCTTTATATGTTCACGTCCTCCATAAACGAAGTAATCGTGCACTGGACCTCAAAGAAATGTACTAAGAAGCGTAATGCGCGTGCACAGCTGTTGTTTTGCTCATAAAACCAATCAGGCTGTTTTGCCGTTCTCGTTGTCGTCGTCGTGGTGGTGGTGGTTTATGCTCCCTATCACTGGATTAGTCTAGACTCCGGTTGAAACCTTATCCCTAGCTAGAGACACTTCCTTGTTTAGCGAAAACGGGTATGTGCCGCTGAAAATGGTATGGTTTTCAAGTTCTTGAGGCCTCAAACAGGGTATACAGTATCACTGTTTAGCACGCGTCTTAAAGAGGGTGGTTTTTTTTGGTCGGAGGCCAAGAAGATTGGCAATGAGCCGTCTATATTTGCGATAACAAAATTGCTCTCTAAATAAGGCTATTTTCATGATCGTAGTTCAAAAAAAAAATGTTCATCTCTGTATGCGAAACGAAATGAATCGGAGTCATTAAATGAGGGCTCTTGTCCTACACAGGGTATTAAAATGAATTGCAATAAAATAAAGCGGTAGCCACGGCATACATAGACTGTTTTTCTTTTTTACCTTTTATGTTAGATCCAAGCTGTGGTGGCGTGCTAACAAACTCGTCTGGTTTAATCACAACTCCGAATTATCCAAACGACTACCCAAATAACATCAGCTGTACTTGGCAGATCTCTCCCGGAAAAACACATTTGAACCTAACCATCGAGGACTTTATGGTAAGTAGACAACAGAGAACTTTGTAAACAAGCTACCGTTATGTAGAGGCCTAGAAAAACTCTGTGTTATAGCCACGTCTCTTCTTTTAGGCCACAACGTAAAAGAATTCAGCCATAAAAACATTGTTTATTCGACTTGTTTTCCGTGGTTTTTGGGGTGGTTGCATCAAATAGCCACGACGTTTTATTGTACATTACTTTATCAGCTGCGTCCCTTGAATCGAAGGGTTATGCTAGGTGGTAGCTTGACATGCTACCGTAAAAATGCATGTCTAGCTTTCTTAAACTTGTTCCCAAGGTCTCTTTTGTCCTCACTTAAAAAACAGAGACTCAGAAAACGAGGGTGGACTTTACCTTGTTTGATTTTATCACTGAATAGAAACCCAGGCTTCACGGGGACGATAACTTTAAGTCAGGCAAAGCGCGGGTAGAGAAAACAAAGACAATGGTAAAGAAACAAACGAAACAATATAGCATTGAAGGTGATCATTAAATCTGAGCATTATCGTTTTAGCCACCAACACTATCTTAAACATCTGGAACAGGCCAAAGAGACAAACAACCCATATGCAACTCAGGATGTGTCTTTTCCACTCAAATGCCGTATTTACTCGAATAAGCAAAGCCGCTGCCTCGAATAAGCGCCACATTAATGGACAAAAAAGTTAATAAGCGCCGCGGCCACGATATAATAAAGATCAAAAGACATTAATTATGTTAGTTTAATACGGAAAAATGATAATGCTACACTTAAAAAATCTTTGTCGCGTCCAAATTTCAAATAAACGCCACCCTCAAAGAGCCGCCCTTGAATAAGCGCCGCATTTGACCCGTGAAAATTTTCGTAAGCGTTGCGGTGCTTGTTCGAATGAATAAGGGTACAAGAATCAATACTGCTATAACGTAACTGGAAATCTATTTAAAAATTTGACTCTTTTCCTTACAGCTTGAGGATTCTCAAACTTGCCAAAAGTTTGATTTCCTTAAAATCGAATTTAAAGTCGGATACAACAGGCAACACGTGACTTTGTGTGGACAGGAACCCTCTCGCCAAGTCAGTTTAAAGATAGATGGAACAGAAGTTAAAATGATTTTTCACAGTGATACCTCTTTTGCTGAAAGAGGCTTCAAGATCAGCTACCGTGCTTATGGTTGGTATATTAAGTATTATATACGAAGTAAAATATACCGCGGCAGCGTTAGCATGTGATGATGACAACCTCGCGGATCTCGACCCACCAAAGCAACAGGGTTAACACCATGAACTTAATATACCTTAACCAAAAGATTTTCGTTTTTGTTTTCCTTAATAACATACTGCAAAATTGCAGCTGCGAAAGAATTCTTAACAGTTGCTAAAGGTAAGAAAATGAAAATTTTACAATACACTTTGACTCTGAAGATGACTACCGCACAGGTTGTCGAAACGTCAGTTACTGTCAACAACAACAGTCCTATTCAGGACTTCGTTCACCCGGACGACCATACTCAACCGACTTATGAAATGACTCCTGGGTCCAAACCTTTCACAAAATGAAAATTTAAACATAAAATCGCTTACCTTGCATTTGATAACAGTATCTATTATAACTATGGATGCGAACCCGCGAGCGGGCAAGATGAAGGGTATCCTGTGTTCTGATTGGCTACCTAAGCGGGCAAGACGGATTTCCCACTTTGGTCCCGCGAGAAAAAGTTCCCTTTTTGGCTATATTATAAATCCTTTATTGCCTAAGCTTGATCGGTCAAGGTGGCTGGAGGTCTATTGGCCTCGTTCTTTAATTTTTTGCGTTTTTATTGACCTCGACTTCTTCTCGGCTACAAAAATTCAAAAAAGAACTTGGCCAATATTCAGTCATTTCGGCCTCGTGTTTGGTCAATAACGTAGCGTATGTATTGACTCTACCAAAGAGGTTTTACACAAAGCTCGGAGCTTGTTATCAGTGAATAGCCTGCAGAAAACCTTCCTTAAAAAGAACCGTGAATTTCTGCCCTTTCATGTGCAAAAAACAGCATCAGAGTCCTTACTGATGAAACATTTCCATAGACAAAAAATATCAACATCAGTATTGAAGGAAAGTCTCCAAAATTTACTAACAAACTAACGCAAAGCAAATGATGTAGCCATGCGTAGTGCAAGTTGAGCCAAAGACTGACTCAGGACTCAACATTTCGCTAAGAAAAGTTTTAGGGCCACTTATTTAAAGCTACGTTCTAAGTAATTTCCAGTTTGTCCCTTAATTCTATGGTTGTGGTATCTAAGCGTTCTTTGCTGCGAACAGTGTTAAGAAAACATGACGTGCAGGATGGAAAGAAACATCTATTTGAAGCAATCCACCTACAATGGAAAGATTTAAATACAGCTATCTATTCTCTTCTTTCCCACATGACCATCCATTTGTCTCGGCTTAGTTCATGGTACATAAAAACATCAAAGAAAAACTTTCATTGCAGATATCGATCCTTGCTTGGAGAAAAATGGTGATTGCTCCCATTTGTGTAACTTGGTTAAGGGAAAGCGGATTTGTTCGTGTCCCAGTGACTATAAACTGAAGTATGATGGGCGAACCTGTCAAGGTTAGTATCAAAAAGACTTATGCCTTTGTGTAGAGAGGGAGGGATATGTTGTTCTTTTGTGCTATTGGAGTTTTGGGGAGGGAGCGGGGGGACTTGGTAATGAAAAAACTCCGCTCGCCAAAGTTTCGCTATCGCGAGGGTAACTCGCCAATTTTTTATTATAATTGGTGGACGGTATCCAGTGACAAACAGTGTTCGATCATTGCTTACATCGTGGACTAAACGACCACAGAAATCCTTGCCCCGAAAGATTGTTCCCATTCTTCCTGGAGTGACAGGCAGTTCCCAGGGGCCCTTTTACTCAAAAGTTCCAGAAACTTTTCAGGCCCAAAATCAAATGTTCAAGTAAAAATCTTAAGAATTAAAGTTCGGACATTAGCTAACAAACCAGTCAATTTTGTTTTGTTACTCTGATAGTTTTATGTTAACTGCCAAACTACTGAAACTTCGATCTCGAATGTAAACAACAACAACAGTTTTCCGGGCTCGTTAATTATTGGAATTTCGAGAAACGGGTCGCAGTGGTGTCAACAGAGGCGGATCTAGGGAGATCTTTGGGTGTTCGTGCTTACAAACTCCTTCGGCCAAAATCCTACAGTCAAACACATGCCAAACAAGACGGTATTCTCGCGTGGCTGAAACTACACTTGTCCAGCAGCTGTGTCTGAGAACGCTTGTACTTACCTGCAATGTTTACTACGTTGTTCGGCACTGCACATCTTCTCTAGGTCTATGGCTGCCTACATGTATTAAACCTTTAACCTCAATATACGCCGAATTTTTGTTATAGGCGCAAAGAGTTGCTACTTCGTGGGATACTCTAAGTGCCCGTATAGCTCCAGTAGTACTTGTAAAGACCTCCCCGACGGGAAGACTAGGTGCGAGTGTTGGCGTGGTTACAAAGAGCAAAATGGCAAATGTCAAGGTAAGCTCCAGGGCCTAGCCTGCGACTGTTTGGCGCGAAAAAAGTATGGGGCGCGAGATAAGCGATGCGCGCGGGAGAGAGGAAACATCGGTCCAACTGGCGAACAGAAACTGTTCAGAGAGCGAAAAATTCCTATTGGCGTTTAGCACTCCGAGGGAAAAAAGTGTTCGTTTTGGAAGGTTAACCAATCAGGGAAAGGAGAATAAACGAGTCAAAAATAGCATTGAGGGGTATGTCAAAAGATTTAATAGATTTTTAAATGGCTATCAACGTATCACCCACCGCTAGTGTCACTGACTTTGAAAGGTGGAAACGGTCTTGTACTAACACTGTTTTACTCTGTTTATTTAAGATATTGATGAGTGTAAGGAGAAGCCAGGTAGATGTGGAGTGGGAACCTGCTGGAACTACAGAGGCTGGTTTAGTTGTCGCTGTCCAAGAGGATATCGACATAATGGATCGACATGTACCGGTACGCGATGCACTTAGATTTTGTTTGAGTTATACCCTTCCATTGATGCATTGTTTTTTAAAGCAGTTAAACTGGACAACGTTTTGGGCGAAAAGTCCCACTGACGGCCCTCGCTGTTACTCTTTGCAGATATTGATGAATGTAAAGATTACAGAGCGCCAGATTGCGGGGAGGCCACCTGTTTGAACACCCCTGGAAGCTACGTCTGTCAGTGCGCGCCTGGGCACCAGCTGATTAATTCCGCTTGTCAAGGTAAGTTCATTCAACCATAAATCACAGAAACGCGCTTCTTTGTTCCCTTTCCGTTTCTTGAAGCTACAATGGCAGACGCAAGTGTTTAGAACGCTTAGATAAGCAACGCTAACTTCATGTATCTGATGTACTTCCGCATGCTGCTTCGGTTAGTCGTGCTTAGAAATACTGCGTCGGAGGACGCATGTAATTAATCAAAATCAAATTTATAGAATGTGTCTAAACTCAGTTTCACTCACTCGCTGGCTTCCCCTTTGATCCGCAACTATCTCGGTACCACAGCGCCCTACCTAAGCCCAATCACTTCAGTCTATCATTCTGGTCTCTTATAATCATTACGACAGTAAATTTTCTCAAGGCCACACAGAACAGGTCTTGATCGGATCGAGATTTAACTGAGTGGGAAAAACTTTATGTTTTATAGATATTGACGAATGTAGTACAGGCACTCATGGATGTGATCACATGTGTAGAAACACCAAAGGCTCCTACATATGTCGCTGTCGCCCGGGACATTTCCTTGATAGCGATGGCAAATCCTGCCGAGGTACTTTTCAGCTCTTTAATTTAAGAACAGCTTTAATTTAATAAGTATTAGGGGATGCGTGAAAGGCATACGCACCTAACAGCTTAACGTAACAACAAACGTATTGTAACGTTATTTACCGACGACGCGATCACGTGACTTAAGCGGAGACCAGGTGAAGAGTATCAAGCTGCCTTCCCCTCAGTAAAAATCGGAGAAGGGGCGTCTGTGATTTACCTTCGCTAATCGTGTATGAAGGCCACATGATTTTCCCGGAATGTGTGGAAAACGATTTAATTGGCTGTTACTTGTAGATGACTACCTCATGTAAATGAGGGATCTCGATTGGTTTTAGGGCCTGTCGTCAAAACATAGCAGGCAACCAGAAAATCATCATGCAGTACGCGAGAATTTACCGCGCTTGGTTGCTCGCTGAAATCTTTCCGAAATATGTTAATGCTGTAGAATGGGAGAAAACAATAAAGAGGAAATTCGGGGATTTTATAGTACACTGATCAATTACAGCACTGAAATTTTTTAAAGAAAATTTAACAACGAATTTTGGTCCAATCGCTGTTTTTGTGAAAGTAGCCTTATAAATTATAAAAAGAGCTCAGCATTGCGTTTTACTGATTCTCATGTTTTCATTTCATGCTTCATGTCTACTTGCGTTTAGCTGGTTGTAGAGTGTATAAGGGTTATTTGCAAACGAATGAGTGATAACATCTTTTCGGAAGCATCCAAAAAGTAGCAAATTTGTCTGTATTAGGTCCAGCCTTCAGTTCATGCATTTTTTATACCCTGCCATAGAAAATGCCGATAGGGGCAGGAATTTGATTTAGAGCTAAAACTATTGTGACGTCATTGTCACGTGATATTTATTCCGATCGCCCAAAAAATAATATCATAATAAAGTTAAGTCAATGTGTAAGAGTGATAATGTTTTTACAATAAAGATGCTGATCAATTTATTTAAGCATAAGAGACTCAAAGATGGAAGCTGTACCTACAAAAATACTGGGGCGAGCCACCTTAAGATTCAGCAACCTCTGATAAATTGTTATACGCAGCACAGATTGATCAGTGTGCAAGATGGCTTTAAAAGTGTCCAGCGCGCTTACACTTGTATTGCTCTTATTTCAGCGGTAAGAGTTGAAGGCCTCGGACAAGTCCAAACCATCGAGACTTGCCAAGGAGAATCATTAGTTCTCGATTGTAAAGACGAGAAAACGGCACTGGTCATTTTCAAGGCTGTGTACAGTAACTTTGATTCAAATGCCTGTCCTAGAAACAAAAACAGGCATAACCTGCCTTACAATGTCACCCAACCTCAGTGTGCAGGGGACGTCACATCCATGATAAAGAATCTTTGTGGATGGCGCAGACGATGTGACATTGTAGTAAGCAGTACGACCATTGGAGAGTTGTGTACGGACAGCTATAAACTGACAGTCCTGTATTCATGTGGTAAGGTGGCATACACAGTTAGTTTACGTAAGAAGGTCGACGTGGCCAGCGGTAAAGTCTAACACAAGTTAACTAAGTTAACAGAAAAAACGGCCGATTTCGCGGGAATTTCGCGGAAAAGTTCGGAACAAATTTCGCCGAAAAACGATCGTTAAAAAAAGCAAATTTTGCGGACATTTTCTGGGCAAATTTCGCTAGAAAGCGATTGGTTTTGCGATGATTTCACGAACTTTTTTAATAAAACAAAACGGCAATTTTGCCAATTTTTGGTGGGGGGAGGGTGGGGGAATGATGAGAGTTACAAACGCCAAGATTCGGCCTAAAGGAGAGCGGGCTCTGAGTACGAGACTGACAATCGGCGTGGGCGTTTTCTTCATATGTTTTCCTTGGTATATTGTTAAGATAAAATGTATAATGTTTACATTTCGAATACGACTTTGTTAATATTAGTTAATAAATCAATGAACCATCAAAATTTGAAATACTTAGCCCAAAAATTGTTAAAATTGAAGAAATTCCTCGTTTTCAATGACGCAATTGTGCAAGGCCGCAGTTCGATTCAGGTATCAGAGTTCCGCGCATGTCTGTAAAAGTACCCGGCAACCGTTTGGTCTGCCACTCGGTTTGGTATTCTTTATATAACTGACTTATCTTATTCTTAAACACACGAACGTTCTGTGAGCACTTAAAGTTGATCCTTTTGTTCTTCAATAATTTAATTTGTTTGCCTCTCTAAACTTAGACTACAAAACAGTCCGCATTTCTGCGTATTGAAGTACGCACGAACAGTCAAAAAAAAGGTCTGGAGCGAGGCTGAAAACGGAGAGCGAGACTGAGGCTCTTACGCTACTCTTACTCTACACTAAACAGACTGTTTTGCAGTTTACTCTAAACGGCGCAGAATCTCTCTACGACGGACACTTAACAGGAGGCGCGGTGCAGAAATACTGTTTGTTTTAACCCTTATTTGAACCTTAATATCTGTCATATCTTCACTTAAATTCTCCTTTGTTGTCCCTACACGTTTCTTGTAGAAGTAGTGAGGAGAATTTGCTAAAGTATCAATACACCTTTGTGATCATGCCTTTAATTCTCATGACCAGTCTGTTTTATAAAGCATAGATATTACAAGGAGAAATTTGATGTTGTTAACTTAAAGAAGGTCTAACACAAGCATTGTTCAAGCAAATAATTTTCATCCTTCCACGACCTTACATATGAGTTTCTATTACCGCACAGCGGAGGACCCATGCAGTGGTGACGCGCGCGGTCCATCAGTTTTCATTCGTCTCTTGTGTTGGAAAATAGAATAATTTTGTTTAGATTTCCTCAGCTCCTGATTTGAACTTGGTTCAAAGTCAACAGGCAGCTCAAGTTTCAATGTAAGTTTAAGCCAGGAAATGAAAGTAAGTGTTCGATCTTCGGTGGTAATGTTTTGTTTTGTTTCTGGACCCTGCGACCCTCCCCCTTGGATCATCTACTGCTTCGTTTAAGTCTAACGGCTGTATCCGTCTGAGAGAGGGAGTACATGGCCTTATGGTGGTAGTGATTACAAAACTTGATTAATATCACTAATAGTTACCATAGCACTAAACATCCTTTTAAATTTCTACCAATCCGCGGACTCAAAAAAAGACAAAAAAAGGTCCGCTAACGGCATTAACATGTACTCAAATTCTGCCCTGTCCTTTAGGTAAACCTCTCACGTGCAAGTATTCACCGCCGAAGTTGTCATGCCCCGCCACAGAAAAGAATGAATGCACCTCGGACGAGTCCTGTCACAGCTCTAAAATGTGCTGTTTTAACGGCTGCATAAAAACCTGTGTAGCTCCTTCCTTGTACTCAGGTTAGTCTGACAGATTACGCCGCGCGTTCACGTTGGATTGAAAGTTCGGTACAGTTTGGATACCCTATACACAAGCATTTTTGCAGGCGTTTCTGATCGTTGACTTTAGACTTATTGGTTAGACATTCAACTATCCGGACAGTAAAGTTTCAGTTTAAAGTACCCTTTAGGGCCGTTTCAATAGCCTTAGGAAACAGCTGACATTTCGCGACGTCACCACTCAGTGGTTTCCCAGCGAAATGACGTCTGGGGAACGAGCGCGGAAATTCCATACTGTCAGATTACGTGTAACTACCCAGACCTGGATAGTGCTTCTAATTGGTTAAAGCAAATTTTCAACCAATCAGAATTACTGCCTAGATTTAAAGTAGTTCTGATTGGTTTAAGCAAATTTCCCTCGTGGTACAACACTACCGCAATAACCCAGAACTGAGTAGTTGCACGTCATCAGTATGGAATTTCTGCGCTTGTTCCTCTGACTTCATATTGCAGGGAAACCACTGAGTGTTGGCGTCGCGAAATGTCAGCTGTTTTCACAGGCTAGTTTCAACGGTTTCAATCGACAATCCCGGACATTTAGAAACTGTAATTACAGGGTTCGTGCAGATTGTTTAATCCAAAATTCAAGACTTTTTCCAGACTTTTTTTCCCAAAACAATCATTTCTTTTTCCAGACTCGAGGTTATCAAATAGGTGATCAATACAGACCTTAAACAAAGCAGTAACGAAGCTTTTCTCTCGATGTACGCACTGCAAGCGTACGGGCGAGATTGAATAAGATTTGACCAAAATGAAAAAAAAAAAAATCACTTACGAAGCACTTGTTGTAGCTTTGAAAAAATACTTAAAGCCTTTTTACCATTTCTCCAGACTTGATCTCTATTTTCCAGACGTCTGGAAAATTGCTGGGAAAATTTCAAGGGCTTTTTCAAGAATTTAAGACTCTGTACGAACCCATGTGTATATAGAGTAAAATTGTTGGTGGCGACGCTGTATGCCAGTGGCATTGTCTTAAGCAAACTCTCTTAAACGGCCAATTTATGATTTTATGAAATTCTAACAAAGTTATAGAGCGGTTTTCATTTGAGTGTCGAAAAGTAATTGGTTTTGCACTTTCTACACGATGCGATTGGCTTAAAAGATTCGCGCCACCTTTTCATCCAATCAGAAGTAAAACCAAAGCCAGTTGTGACGCGCTATTTGCGTCAGCCACATGTAATTACTTCGAGTTTTGATTGGTTCAATGTATTGTCTGTGTCCTATGTGATTGGCCAGAGTAATTACTTTGGTTTTGGTTTTACGACACTCAAACGAAAACCACTCTAACAGGTAGGAAAATTATCGCTGAGGACCAGGACTCGTAGCTATCGGACTCATTTGGCGAAAGGAGATTTAAGAAAGCGTTCAATCCTTTAAATAGAGTTATCAACTAACATCTTTCTTTTATTTACCTTTTACAGCCTCTTGAAGCCTGACTTCAAGGAAAAAGTTCCTTTATGGACATGGACAAGTCGTTGACAGAGTTGACGTACCGAGAATTAAAGAAATATGGCGTTTTCTCTAAGCTGTTTATTTCAGTCACTATGGTAGTCGGGACATTCGTAACGTAAAGCCTTTACGCCCTTATATCGACACCCTTATTCTCTATGCATTTGGTATGAGGAAAATTTTTCAGAAAGCAGATACGTTTGATGTTTGTTGATATTTTGACTTTTTACCGTGACTTTGTTTTATAAACCGCGATACTGCTGGGCGCTCAAATGTCAAAGCTAACAAAAAGTTAACAATAGAATGCATTAAACTCGGATTCAATAAATGCCATTGCTTTTATTTTTAATAAAAAGAAAGTGTCATTTGAATGCTGTAGTATCAAAGTGGTCTCTCCCATAAGCTCAAGCCGCCTGCACTTCCAACCCAGACGCCTTGAAACACCTGCAGGTAGGCGAATTTTTTCTTGGTTTGGCCTTCAAGGGATAGGGTTACATGTGCACTTGTTTACACTTCTCTGATTCAGAATCCGAATTGTGGTATGTAGCGTTCTTTCAAAATATTTAATTTGAATGGAAGAAGGTTTAAAAAACCGAAAGAATGTCAAGCAAAGACGACAGTATTCCTTGTTCATGCCTTTCGTTATTAATATATGATACACCACAACAACAAAATGAGAATCGAGGAATTGTACTCAAAAGCCAATCGTTTCAGTCGATGACATTTGGCATTAAGAACTCCAACTTGATGAAGTGAATACTGACAAAGTATCCTTAAACAAACACTTTAAGTTCCATCATTTGGTGGTCGCTTACCAGCCAGTTTGAAGGCATTTATTCATTTCATTTTTGACAGTGTCCCAGCCAGAAGAGGGTTCGATCTTCCCTCTTTCCTTTCTTGATCAATGTTTTATGGAGTAGCTTGCCAGCGCCCTTCCACCGGAGAGCTTGCTCATGGAGTTTTATCCACAACACAGATGGTGACACCAGCTATCACTAGGATCATCCCAAGAAATGTCCCTATTGTGATTCAAAACACATAATTATTTTCCATAAATCTCAATAAATTTAAGTCAGTCAGTGCTACCCTTTACAATGTTTGAGAGTCGGTGTTCTATAAAATACAGCTGTATTTTACTTAGTATTTCTACAATATAAGCCAAAAGAGGCCCACCCTATGTTTGAAGTAGTATTCTGGACTTATTTCTTCAAAACTACCTATAATTTTCCACTAGACTGTGGTGGTCATCCTTAAACAGGAGAAGGGATTGGGACAGAGAGAGGAAAACTTTTTTCTTCACTCCTGAAGGCCGCTTCTTCCCTTGGTCCTCATGGCTTTGCCAATCACCGCTCACACACCTCACACATGCCCTTGATCTACTGTGTCTCAAAAGTCAAAAGACAAATAAGAGACTGCTTGCAATCTACACTTTCCACTTAGATAGTTTAACTCCCCAATTTTCTACACCTTGTCCACAAAAATCTGTTCCAAAAACAGGACCCTTTACAAAAATGATTTATGCACACACAAACACATATGTATAGCTTATGTAGATTACCCATACTCCTTGCCCCAACCCCGTCCCACCCATGGTTGGTATATGTAATGACTTAAGCAGAACTATAATTACCTGCATTAATTCTTCCTTCTCCTAAAGCCTGTCCTGCCAGTGTAGTTATGAGCATAGTCAAAGAATTGGTAATGGGGACAGCAATAGACAGGTCTGTAAGGACATCAAATAAAAGAATTGTTTTTGCATCCACAAGTAACAATATCTTTAATCAAGGCTGAGAAAAAGGGTTTCAACATAATTATTTACCTACTGATGCAAGTGTCAAGTAGAAAACAACTGACCCACATTGGTTCAACAGGAAAGGAACTATGTACTAAAAAAGAAATAAGAAATAACAAGAGATGCATTTTATGAACAAGAACTGAAACTAAGTAAAGTGGCTGATACTGCGCAAACAGCCTACAGCCCCTTTTAATCCACAAGCATAAAAATTAATAAAAATTAATGAGCAAGTTGTCATCAATTAATTTTAAACTGCATATCTACAACTATAGACAGTTTTAAACGATTTTCTCTCCATACAAAAATGTCAAAGCTATTTTATAATCAAAAGTTTTCTTAGACATAAAGATAGTTTTGGCTTCACACACTGTATGCTAAGTGAACACTGCCTGGTGGCCAGGCCCACATCATGGCATACTATGAGTATACCAGACTTCAAAAGATAACTGGTATGCCAGAAAAATACAGTAAAAGCTTGGCATTAATGTGCCCAATGTTCAATTATTGAATTTGAGTATTAATTTTTTATTATATTATTAAATTCCACAGTGGTTTATTGAATCAACAAATAAACTGAATCAAGTTTTCCAATAATAAATTCCCTGGCTTGTTATGCACCATGGGCCCCTTGGCCAGGCCAGGACAAACAACAGCACATACTCTTGTACAAAACTTCACAATACCTTCCAGTTAGATGCAAGGAAGATGACTTCTGCAAAAAATTGTTGGATACGACTTGACCTGTGAATTTCCTCAATTCCCTTGCTTCCTTTTCTGATGAGTGGATTTGTGGAGCCCCACAATAATGACACGAAGAAAAGCCAAAATGCATTACCTAAAAAATATATCAAAAATTGGTACCACTGAGGCAAGTTGCAGAGTGCAAAGAGAGTAGTGTCTGATAGCCTGGGGCTAGTGGATTTTGCTCTCAGGCTAGCGAATTCTGTTCTTAACTCATACTGGGCCCATTGGCTTGTCTGATTCTGTCTCTGTCACTGCCATGTTTATGATGTTGTGTTTTGTATGAGATATCAAGCAGTTTCCTAAAGCAATCTTATCTCTCGATTTAACGAACCTCGAGTTAACAAAATCCTTGTTATAACGAGCACAATCCACAAGCACAAACGTAAAGTTTACCTGGATATAAAAAATAAATGTCAGCATGTGATAAAAGATGAATGCCAAACATACCAACAAGGATAAAATTTATGTGACTGTACAGTAGTTTTAAACAGTTGGCGTGTTCTTGAGTTTCTAGTGCCGTAGCTGTGACTAAAGCTTGGTACTGAAATGTTATTACAGTAATTTTTCAGATCCGGAAATGCTGGGTTTTGTAAATTAATTATTAACTACACCTCAATATAACAAACATTTTGATAGTTGTCCCGAAAATTCGTTAAATGGAGCAGTTCAATATAACGAGCCCTCAATTTAGCGAACAAATTACCCCAGTCCCTTGGCACTTCATTAAATTGAGGTTCCACTGTAATTTTACCCTTGGTAACTCCATCTCGATCCTCCCACTTACTTGAAGTAATTTTTGTTTCCCTTCAGATCATTTCTATATACATGTAAATTTACCCTTGATAACTTGAACCATGCTTTGAGTGCCTGACAAGTCAAAAAAAGTACACTGCAGTCCAAAACACTGAAATTATTTTAACGACCATGTATTCATTGTCTTCAAAAAAAGTCCTTCGATCATCCCAATCATGTGAAATCCAGAGTACTCCCCTGGGATAGAGCCATGGTGCTTTTTACTGCAAAGTATGATAAAGTTTGTTTGTTTGCTTGTCTGTTTTGTTTTTGTTTTTTTTATGCACCCGTAAGGGATACCTGTATTAGAAAATAATGGCACCCCAACTTTAGTGAGACCAAAATCTGAAATTTAAAACACGGTTAAGTGAGGTGATGAACATCACAGCCAACCCATGCATATGGGAGCCCCACTGGGGTCTTGGTCAATGGACTAGTCACCTGTCACTTGAAACACACTAGACCAGAGCCACTTAGTGATTTAACTTCTTAGTTCTTCAACATATTAATTAACTAAACATAGCTCATCTATATATTTCATGACTATTGTCACAAATTATGCATTTATCCATTTTATGCATTTTTGAATGAGTCAACAGTGATTTACTATGTTTCAAATTATTAATAAAAAGTACTTGAATTAACATTATTTTTGAAACTGCGCCTTTGGGTGGAGGATGGTTGAGTCCTGGCTGGGAGAAGTACTACCCTATATGTGATACAGTATACAGCTATGTCGAGAAAGGTCGTCCGCACGAAAAGTCCACAGCAGCGAAGAGCGAGGAGAAACGGTTGTTTTCGCAGGCTATAGGATATGGAGAGATTTAAAGAGTTTACTCTAGTTTAGGATAGCAAAATTCAGCTAAATCAGGAAAGTCTGGTATAGGTTATAAAGGGTTCCAGAGTCCCAGCAGCACATCCCTACCCAAACATTCCTCAAGTATTAGCTAAAGTATGTGTACATGTGCAGTGCAAAGACCTGCCAACTCTCATGATTCTGCTGTTAGTCTCACGATTTTTAACTTTTCTCACGGCCTCACGACAAGACTCCCAGTCTCACAGTTTTTGAGAAATATCATTCTGAAATGAAATGTTAATTACCTTGTTGAAATTTCGCGGGGAATGCTAGTGCCTGTTTATTGATGGGACCTTGCCTAACATTTTAGCCATGAAGTTGGGTTATCCGGAAGAAACGACTCTTTGCTGAGCGTTATTCTCCTGTGATAGAGTCATCCAAGAAAAGCGGAATCTAAATAACTTTTTTTGCAAGAAGGACCCCACTAAAGCAGGGTAATATTTAAATAAACAGTTAATTCCCCCCAACAGAAAAAGGGTTCCTTTAATCCTGATCGGGAAAAATAGAATCTCACTACTTGTAGAATTTTTTTCCCATGAGTCTCAAGATTTTCCTACCAGGGTTGCCGGGCAGGTCTGCGTGCGCCATAACAATATTATACTTACTAATGGGACTGCTCATCCTTGATGTGTTAGGTCCCTAGCCATAAAGGAGACGATTTTGTTACAGAATAGAAGAAAAGAGTAAAACCTCCGTGGGAGGTCACCTTTACAAAGTTAATTCCAACTGTCCGCCATCGTCTGCGACCAAGAATGAGTCCGCCATGTTTGACGCTTTTCTCGTGCCCAGACCCTTGCATTTGTGCTAGCTGTAAGGACGCACGTGACGTCAACGCAACGACGACGACGACGGCAACGAGAACGGCAAAGAACAACAAAACTTTGCACGTGCATCACGCTTTTTTGTACATTTCTAGGCCAGTCGTTGCACGAGTACAACGTGAAACTGCTTAACGTTTTGTCGAGGACGGGAACAAAGACAACAACTTTCTTTTCTCTTCCAGAACTTTGTTGTAGTCCTTTAGAATTCAACTCCAAAAAGAATTGCCAACATTTGACGAATTAAACGAGATGGAATAAGCGCGATAAAGTTTGAGGCACCGCAAATTTACTTTTTATGTGACGTTCTCGTAGCCGTCGCCCGCGTCGTTGTTGCGTAAACTCCTTTTTGACCACCACCGCATCAGGGATCTCAGTTTAGAGACAGGGTGGAAAATGCGGATCAACTACGATCCATTCGATAAATCTGCAGCGATTTTTTTTTCCATGTAATATTGGCAGGTCCCTCGTCGGCCACCCAGGGCACCTCTGAGTGATAGTTAACAACTTATCATTCCAGGGTTTACTTGTCCTCCGACTATCCATTAAAGTTTATTACAAAGTACAACAGCTTTCCTATTACAAAGTGCGACAGTTTTTTATTACAAAGTGCAACAAATGTTATTACAAAGTGCGATAGGTATTGCAAATTGCGACGATTAATAGAGCGGTTTTCACTTGACTGTCGTAAAACCAAAACCAAAGTAAATACACTAGCCAACCAAAGGGCGTATTAAAACCAAAACCAAACCAATTCCTCCATTACTTTCGACAGTCAAGTGAAAACCGCTCTATTACAAGTGCGACAGAAGATCCTGGCCCTCCACTTATATCGGTTAGCCGCAACGGTCTTCACTTCCGCCCACGATTGCCATTTTCCTGGCAGTACCCACAAAAAAAAACTTAATATATTTTGACCAAAATTACACTGCCAATTTCACTGTTCACCGCAACAGAGCGTTGCGCCACTGTGCAGGCCCTTAACGGTCTCCTCCCCCCCCCCCCCCCCCCCCCCCCCCCACCACCCACACCCCCCCACCCCCCACCCCCCCCCGCCATACGTAAAAGAAGACGGCCCGGGAGGGGAGGGGGGGAGGACGGCTGGGGGGGGGGGGGGGTGCAAAACACACAAGAAGAATAAACGTGCAGAGACATACTTCATGTTTTTTTTTTTTTCAAAAACAAGACCGCAGACGAGCGCTTGTGTTTTGTGGGGTTTCGCGGCGGGTCCTCTCCGCACAAACTTAAAATTTTTTGCCAAAAAATTCACCCCCAATTTCCCCTTTCCCCCCAAAAAGGGGTCCCCCCCCGGGGGGGCCCCCTACCGGCCCCCCCCCCCCCCCCCCCCCCTCCTCAAATAGAGAGACAGACCACCACACACTGGGGACTACTTATGAGAATGTTTTACAAGGGTAATATATATATATATTTTTTCTCTTATCTTTATAGCAAACTATGGGTGACAGTTTTGTCTGCAGAATACCTATCTCTGGCGTGACATGCAAGTGTAACAAACCCATTTATCAAAGGAGCTTTAATAAACCTTCTCAGGCAATTTGCTAAGGTTTGTCACTTTTATTGTCGTATAACGAAAAGTGGCTTACAAAGTATCTTAGGCCAAGGCCATAAGTAGAACTTTTCATGAGACGAACCAAACTTAGTGAGTTTTAACTCACTAATTTCATGAGCCAACTTAAAAGTCTTACGTTTCTTGTTTGCTCTTAGAACTTAAAAGTTTATGAAAGTTCGACATCTGGCTCAGTTAAGTTCGTCTGAATAAGTTTAGATCGTCCACTGACGTTCTCTGCGTCTACTTCAGATGAATATTAGAACGTCTGAAGATTGTCTCTGGGACAACCGTCGATCTCCAAACGAACTAAACTAATAGATTAAAAATTTGTTAGCATGATAATGTATATTTAGCCTCGTTCGTGGGAAAATTTATTGAAATTGCTTTTCAGTCTGATTTAGTTGAATCAGCCATTTTACAGTTATGGATAGAAGGGGGGCTGGAGTTGACCTTGTATTTATACAAACCTTCTTGCTTTGTTATGTAAATAATAACTAATATTTTTCAAGGACAATTTCCATAACAAAGCAAAGGAGGTTTGTATCAAAACAAGGTCAACCTCAGCCTCACATTCACTCGAAGGTCAGGGTACTAAGTCCAGAACTGTAAAATGGTCTGGTAACATGTGAAAGTACCGTCAAAGAATTTTCGAGTAAATGGTCAGTTTGGCGGAACATTTTTGCTAACTCTTTTAAACAAATGTGCTGCTAGTAAACGGGGAACGGGGAAGAGCGCGGGCTCGTTTCGCGAACAGCGTCTGCTGATTGAGCCAAATTCTGTCTGTCGAAGCATATTCCAGTTAAGGTGTCACGTCATAGCTTTTCTTTTAATTCTGGTTGAATTGCTTCAGTGAACTTTTTCTGGGTATTTTATGCTCAATACAGGTGTGGCAGTTTGTTACTTTAAAGAGACGAATATATTTAATTGATTGTCTTGGAGTTGTTTATCCGAGTGGAGATTCGCAGACCGATATCATACTCAAAGGCGTGGTGAGTCTTTCATATAATTGCTTTGTCTTAACAGCGCTTAAGCAACCACGACGTCAACGGGAAATAAAGCAAAAATAGGATTTAATAAGTACAACAACAATGCATATCAAACCTCTTTTCCGCTCTTCCCTCACTTAACGACTACGAGGTGAAATTTCCTCGTTGGCATCTCATGGCATTTAAATTTTTTAAATGTAAATGCGCTTCTTCAGTATTCTGTTCTGAGAAAATTTGCTTCTTCCCTGAATTTGATAAATCAAAGCGAAAGGGAGTGGAACAATTAAAGGAAAAAGGTTTTAAAACCGAAGACCGCATTTTTGCTTCCCACTCCTGCATAATTGCTTAAACCCCTGTATATTGACTCATTGGGTTTTTTTCCTTTGAAAGTTTCGTTGCCGCATGAGAGTTTCTTACCAGGGAAACATATTTTTCGTTCGTTAAGAGCAATACTCACCTACGATAAAGCCCTGCCATAAGTCTCAACTTATATCACAGGTGGCCCAAGCGTAATATGAGAGTTTGTATGGAAAAATAGAGTTTGAAACTTAGATGAAATAAATGAAGTGAAAGCGATAAACGTTTTCAATAAAGTGTAAACATTGCTACCTGGAGTCGTTGTCTTTGTTTTGACGAAGTTTCAGCGCGATTTGAGTACTTTTACATCATCTGACCTGACAGTGTAATAATAAGAGTCTCTTATTATTACACTGTCAGGTCAGATGATGTAAAAGTACTCAAATTGCGCAGAAACTTCGTCAAAACAAAGGCAACGACTCCAGGTAACAATATTTACACTTTATTGATAACTTTTATCGCTTTTACTTCATTCATTTCATCTAAGTTTCAAACTCTATCATATTACGCTTGGGCCACCTGTGCTTATATCGAATGGACCTTGTCTTGGTTTTGTTCTTGTATCTATCCGGATTGTATCTATCCGGATTGGTTCAAAATTAATTCGAAAATGAAGACGATAATTTGCCCCAAATTCTGTTACCTGAACTTGTCAGATCGACTAAAAAGAAAATTTTATTCAAAATAACATAGTTCTCTCTTTTGAAATACCAAGAAAGCGAAGCACACGTCATCCCGCAGATGAAAACACGAAAAAATTCCAACTGTCATTGAAGCACGCGCATGGTAGCCATGCGGCACGCGCTATTCCTTACTCTCGGGAACTGTATTTTTTTCAGAATTGGTGCTTTTTTGCGAGATTTTATTCAGGATTTCACTTTTCATATGATACCAGAGTAATGTCAAATGTTATAGTTTAACAAGACGGTTAATTTGTTTGCATACTGGGAAGGATTTATGCGCGTGCTTCCATTCAAAGCAATCGTGGAGTCTTTCTGACGCCATTTCGAATGAAGTGACAAAACAAAGGAAAACAAGTTCATTCATTTCAGAAAGAGATCCAAAACATGGCGTACGACAGGTCCGAGTGGGAATTGAGTGAATTTGGTAATCTTATCGAAACAGAAAATGAGAAGTACGGAGAAATTGTACAGATTGCTGAGCGAAGGCGCACAGCAGAAAAATATATCAAAATCAGAAAAATTCGTCAGGAAATGACATGGGGCGTTCGAGTCACCAAGACGCTTTATATCTGCTATTGTGGTCGCTACGTCGCTTACAAGGAATCTATCCTGGCAGAGTTGGTGCCACCTTTTCAATTCTATCTACGAGATAAAGAGTACTATACTACATACAAGGGCACTCCCTTTCGTCTCCCTGCTGCTTACAAGTTTAAATACTATGAGAATGCGGTAGAGTGCTGGCATCACAATGCTATTCTTTCCGACGAGAAGCAGTTGAAGATTCTTGTGAGGTACAACTTTGAGAAATTTGTCAGAGCGCTGGAGACAATTGGCGAACCCACAGCAGCGAAAATACAGTATGACTACGACACCTGCGTGTCCAGTATTTCCCCATTCAGCGAAAGTGAAAATGAAGAAAGCGATGCAGATGACGAAGATGATCGCAGTGAGGGAAAAGAACAAGACCATTCTATCAATAAGATCTTCCCATTCAGTTTCAGTGGTGATGAAGAAAACGAATCCGATGACGAAGATGATCGCGGTGAGGGAGAAGAACAAGACCATTCTATCAATAAGATCTTCCCATTCAGTTTCAGTGGTGATGAAGAAAACGAATCCGATGACGAAGATGATCGCGGTGAGGGAGAAGAACCAGACCATTCTATCAATAAGATCTTCCCATTCAGTTTCAGTGGTGATGAAGAAAGCGAATGCGGTTCGAAATCAGATTGCAGTGATGAAAGCACATCGAAAGCTGAATTAGATCACGAGGATGAGACTGATGAGGAAGAAGAACATGACCAGTCTGATGATGAACTACCGAGGTTGATCACCTCAATCAGCGAAAGTGACGATGACGAAAGAGAATCTTATAATGAATCAGATGACGAAGATGAGGACAGTGAGGAAGGAAAACAAGGCCATTCTATCGATGAGATCTCTTCATTGAGTGAAAGTGATTATGAAGAAAGTGAATCCGATTCGAAATCAGATTGCAGTGATGAAAGCACATCGAAAGCTGAATTAGATCAGGAGAATGAGCTCGATGAGGAAGAAGAACATGACCAGTCTGATGATGATTTACCGATGATCACCCCATATAGCGAAAGTGTAAATAGAGAAAGCGAATCTTATTATGGGTCAGATGAGCAGAGTGAGGAAGAAGAACAAGACCATCATTCCGATGAGATCACCGAGGACGAAGAGGAAATGTACTTTGCGAAAAAGGAAGATAATGATAAGAAATTTGATTCAGAAGATGTTCTTAACTTGCAGTTGCTTCATTGTAGAGAAGAGGTCAGTCAAAAATGTGATCCAGAAGAATCTGATTTGGGTATTCTGTTCGGTGCGGAAGAGCACAATCACAATTTGGATTTAGAGAAAGTGGGTAGCTTAAGTTCGCTGGTGGAAAAGGTGGAGCAAGATGATGTATTGGATTCAGAAGATGTAAGCAATAAAGATCAGTTCAATGAAGTAGAGGCACAAGGACCTTTCAATCAAGAACAACAGCAACAACAACAACAACACTGCAGCGAGCACATGGTCGAACATCGACCCAGCAAGAACAAGAAAAAGAGAAAGAACATTCTCATGGGATGGTTATGTTCAAAGATCATCAACGTTTTCATCAAAAGCAAAGTGCTTTTGTAGTTCTATAATTTTTTTGTATTTATCCTTCTTTATTTTGCTTAGAAAAATCCCTCTCTAACTTCTAGTATCGATCTCTTAATCAGCTTTAACCTATCTGTGGGATAATTGTTTTTTTCATTCCTTTTTAACGGATTTCTGATAGACAAATTTTTTATTCTTTTATGATCAATTCTAGATCGGTTCTATTTAACCCTTATTACTTTCCATTTCAAGTATCCCTTTCTTGCATCCATTTAATCTTAAAATCCGGCGGTCTTTTAAACATTTTTTGATTTTCTTTAAATTTACGTCCTTTTATTTGATAACACAAGTGGCTGTAGTATAGCTTGCAGGGGCGGATCCAGGATTTTTTTAGGAGGGGGTGCACTTGTCTCTTGCTCTACAACCAATAAACCACATACTTTTTTTTTTTACAGAATACTAGTTGTATTAGAAAACCGCAGGTCATCTCGGGGGGGAGGGTGCGCACCCCCTGAACCCTCCCCATAGATCCGCCCCTTGCTTGTAGTATCCGTTCTATGTTTTTTATCGTCAATATATCCCTTTCCATTCATTTTTTCTTATGATATAAACGTTTTAGACATATTATTTAGGGGTTAACCATTTGACTATTGAGGGGGGGGGAGGGGGCTGGGGGGTATCGGTGATTTGGTTTGGGCAAGAATGTTTTTCCCATCATATAACGGTGTATGATTAATTACCCCAGCGTTATAGGCCATGAGAACAAGATCAATGACATCTAACGGGTCGCTTCTAAAGAATTGCATTCTAAGTGATTGAGAACCGGACCGCGTTTCGTAAAAGTAAAATTGGAATCTGGAAATAAAAGCCATTGAGATTGATTAGTTTCTAGTTAAGCCTGGCTTGACATAATCGTCATGGTCTCGATCCCCCGCGTCTTGTCAGAATATTTTCAGACAGTCGAGATGGTCACATGGGACAGAACACTTCTGATGCGACGCGGGACGTTGGATCCGGACGATTGGGGCCATCTCAGTCAGCACGGCTTAATCAAAACTGAAGTATGTATACAGTATATAATTATAGGCTGGTTCTCATATTACGGGTGGGGTTTGTCTTGATGGACCTCCAAAAATCAAAGCAATCAAGACAATCTCTGCATGATGATTATATAGAATCCAGCTTATATAACTTCAAATATAAAGCTGTTGGTTATTTGAGTATTTGACGGTCAAAAACCAAGACCAACCATGAAAGACGCCGACAGTGTAAACAGAACTCGAAGTACGGAAGTAGCAAATCAAGTGTTGGTTTCGGTTTAACTTCTGTCTTTTTTCTTATAATTTTCTCAAAGCTAACTTTTAATTGCTGTTCATCGTTACAATCCTTATTACAGTTACTACAGTTCCTATTTATATTTGTTTCGAAAGAATTTTACGCTGTCCTTTTTTTTTTTTTTGCGATATTCTGATTTAGAAAGGGATATATCTTTTTTGAAAGTATATCCTTAAAAGGGGGATAAATGCAAAACTTTTTTTTCATTAATGTAACTTTTACTACAATATTTCTACAGAAAATTTGAATGTAATTTCTTTTGCAATTCAAGGTATAAGGTAAATAATTCTAACAAATCTTCTATAATAATTTTTATAGAACTGAAAAATTAATTTGAAGGTACTGTTCAACTGATGCAAGAAAGGGATCGATATAACTTTCATTTTAAATTTACTCGAAAAAACTCGCAAGCAGTAATATTTTGTGGTATATTTCCACGAAAGAGAGGGATTACAAGCTTTCTAATAATTTCTTTAAAAATCTTATCTGTATCGTTATTTTGTGATATTCAGTGTTAGAGAGGGATCAAAATAATTGTGCCAAAATGCACTTTTATTAAGATTTGCTGAGATGTATAAATTGTTATTTCGTCGTCTTTGTGAAGGAGCGACAAATTTATGTGACTATTATTGTAACATCAGTAAAAGTTCTATACAACAATTGTTAATTTTCAAAGACCATATACTTTCATCTACTGTTATTTTGTAAGTTTTCGATGCAAAGAAGGGACAAATATGAGACTTAAAATTATTGTTTTGTTGTGTAAGAATCGTACTTTAAAAAAAAGTTGACGGTCTTTTTCAGAATGAATATTTATTGGGATAAACGTTTTTGTGTAGTTGTATTTAGAAAATAGTATTGATAATAAAGAATGGAATGGTAATATATAAAAAGGAAAAATCTTTGCTTTTGGAAAACAGTTCATCTTTAAAGGCAAGCTCATCTTCTGGCAAGTGGAATTTAGAATTGTAGAAAATTCTCAATTGTACCAAAGTCCTCCATCTACGTTTCGACCATCTTGAGTTGTTTACCATTTACATGTGTAATTAAACTGGTCGGATTATAGTTTGGGCAAATGATAAGAGAAATTCAGCACCGGTAAATTTTATGGGTTCCTGATTTTATTCTGGAATCGTATTTACCAATTGCCGATAATCCGCGAGCGAAAGCCTGAAACTGGTATTTTAAAAATGGTTTAACAAATAAAACGCTGATTTCTGTTTGGAACATTCGGATTGGAATGATGGTCTGTTGCTCCCGTACATTTTTCACCGGAAAGACACGAAAAGCAGTGTCCTATTCATTTTTCTACCGGATTTTCCTTAAACTTTTTGTAAATGGCAAACAACCTTGACCAGTGAAACCGAGTGGGACGGGAAGAAAAAATTTTGGATAACAGAATAGAAATTTGTGGTTAGCTCGAGCACGGAGATCGCCTTCCTCGCACCCTTGTTTCCTGGCTTCACGCGGACAAACGAGGTCCGGTCTTTTGCAGCGTGTTGCAATATAGATGTTCTGTACGTGCAAGCCGGCTTTGGTCAGACAGGATCAAAACCAGTCAGTAAGAAGTGTATTCACCTGTGGAAGTGGAGCTGAAGCGTTTGATTTACGTCCCGACGGAAATTTATAAGCAGCAGTGTACGGTACTCGACCCAACCCTCCCTAAGGAGCGTCCAGAGGGCTGACACGTAAAGCCTACTGCTCAACTGTGAATCTGCGCAGCACAGATAAGACTCAAAGGCAGATCGGGATAGGGAAGATGTGGCGAAAGAATGTAATTTTACCAAAAACACTTACAATTGTTCTAGTTAAATTACAACGATAACACAAAAAGATGCATCGTTTGCCATACGAAGCACACGTGATTTGATTTAATTCTGGATTCTTTTAATTCCATGATCTGCCCCCTCTCCAAGTGTCTGTTTTTTTCTCTTACGCGGTGCACATTATTTCTTGAGAACGTACTGTATCTGCGGTGTCATGTCTCCCATCCTACCCATGATGCCATGCGCCCTATTGTTCCCGCAATAGTACTGCCTGTAGGCTGCAAATACACTCGCCTCTCATCAATTCCCACTGCCGGGCGTTTAAGCTTGGTTTTTTCCAAATGACAGTTAGTGCCGAGAGGCGACTGTTTGCGCAGCTATGCTATGGTGATAGAACAGTGCAGACGCCAATAGCCCCAGCTTTTTTCCCAACGAGATAATAAAGGACCACTTGACCAAAAGAAACGCCAAGCTCTGAGAAACAGAATAGCCTATGTTCACGACCAAATCTTATATATTTTTTTGCGCTTTAAAGCAGAAGTAACACAAAGTCTATTTGATCGAATCGTCAAAATAAGCGATAAAAACTATAACACAAGAAAATGTTGAATTATGGTTATCAAACTACTTCAGAATCAGGGAAATGGAAGAGTTTGAAAGCTGCGTTGACGGACGCAAAAGCTAGCAGCACCAAGGGATACTAATCCTATACTGGCTGAGGAATGTCACAGTATTTTTTACTGATATAAACTAGACTCTACATTATTACACTCAAATTAACAACTTGCTTTGGCTGTCTTCATAAAACCTACCTATTTGTCTAATGACATTTGAAACAGTTTACCTATTGAAAAGCTAACTAGAAGGAACCGTTCTTGGGCGATAAAAGTAAATATCAAAATCTTCCAACAATGTTTAAAATAATAAATTAATAAACATCCGATATTCCATATTTGTTTTTTCATACATAAATTAAAAAAACATGAGGAGGCCCTTAAGTTTATCTTCCGTGTGGTTTGGGTTCCCAGACTTTCCCCTGCAGAAAGGAGAGAGCCTGGAAAAGAGTTTGCCCAAAATACTTTCTTTTATGCCTGTGTTTCAAGAAAACCTCAGAACTAGGTGGTAAGTCCATCCGAAATTTAATAGATAGCTTAAAACCTAAACTAGCTAACTTAACTAAAATGAGCTGAGTTTTAGAGCAAGTGAAACAAATACAACAAAAACAAGTGAAAGAAATAATAACAACAATTAATTGCAATAATAATATCATCTATGGATTAAATATCTCCGTTTTAAAAATAATTAAATACATTAAGTGATCTCTAATATATTCTTAAGCAAAATAACAGTGTCTTTCATAACTCTTCAAAAAACTGTATTCTAGCAGTGGATGTCCCCGTCTGAATCTGAAATCAATAACAATAATCAGACCATGAATTAGAACATGTAGCGCAAATGTTGTTGTTGGAAACCATGGAGACGCCTGAGCCTCGCATTACAGGCTATTTTTGAGAATGAAATATCCGATTTATCGGCGCCGGGACATGTGTAAAGTCAAGATGAGGAGAAATGTGCTTTTTGACGGCTAACAGGAATACAGGATAAGTAGGACGATTGTAGAAACACGTTTTTTATTATGCTAAAATTTCGTTGAATTGAATTTTTTCAGGTAGAAAATAAAGTTTTCTCAAATTTACGGCAGTCTCAAAACAAAGACCGAGCTGGTTGAAAAAGTTGATCAACCAAACCAACCAAAAACGGTTTTTTCCCAATAGAACGCGATTATTTATAGTTTCCAACCCAGGCCTAATAGCCGTGTGCTTGCTACAGCGGGCTCGGTTATGACCATCGGTTTATCAAAAAAACGATGCTCACACTCGAAAAAAACAGTTTGACGAGAGAAAACAAGATTGACTAGTCCAGAAGTTCGGGCTGTGGTGACCTCAGAGGTTTGACGTGATTCAGACAGAACCTCCTTTTGTCCTCCTCGATCAAAAAGACAAAAGGAGGCTCTGCTCGCAGGTAAGTAGGGACTTTAAGGTCCAACGACGCGACGGCAACGAGAACGTCGCTTAAAAGTGAATTTGCGTTCCTTCAGTCTTAATAGCGATTATTCCTACCCACTTACTTTGTCAAATGTAGGCGAACCCTCTGAAGCTGAACCATAGCCAAGCTCAGAAGGAGAAATAAAATTTCGTCGTCGCTTGTTTACGTCCTCCATAAAACGCAAAATTTTAATAGGCATTTTCACGTCGTAGTCTTGCAAAAACAGGAAAGAAATGTACAAAAAAGCGTGATACACGTGCGAAGTTGTTGTTTTGCTTATTAAACCAATTATTTTTTTGACATTCTCGTTGCCGTCCGCGTCTTTGGATCTTAAAGTCCCAAGTATGTTGTAAGCGACCACTTTAAACATGGTCTTATCTCTAAGTTGATTGTCGCTATATATACTACGCTGTTCAGAGTAAACAAACAATTTTTAGTGACAAAGAACTACACATATCGTAACTTAGAAAGTGCATCCAACTTAAGTTCTGCAAAAAGGGGATGTGTGAGTCCGGACCCCTTATCGGAAGAGACCCCCGATTTACGATAAATCATTTGTAAAAACAGGTAAATAAGCAGAAATAGGTTCTACGTTTCAGTGTCCGGCCTTTTTGGTGAGATAGAATCGTACTTCCAATATATATGCGTTATTGACCAAGCGTGAGGTCACGATGGCTGGATATAGTCAGTAAAAACGCGAAAAAGAACGAGAACAATATTCAGTCATCTTGAAGGAGCAAACGTTGTCAATAAAGGATTTATTACGTGGCCAAAAACAGAACTTTTAATTGCGGGGCCAACGTGGGAAATCCCCAGCGGGCAAGGTACGCTCGGGTAGCCAATCAGAATGCAGGAATTGCCCGTAGATTGAGCCATGTAATAACTTTTCTTATTATCCTCAAATAAACGCCGTATTCTTCTGATTAGGTGCGGCGTTTATTCGAGGGCGGCGTTAATTACTTCACCTGCGGCGTTTATTCGAGGGCGGTGTTCAACCATGTGAAAACAGAAAGGCAAAATTTGTGAATGTACGACTACTAAAGAACTTGTTATCAGCAAAAAGCAAAACGAGAAAACGAAAAATAACATTAGGTGCCTTATCTTGATGATTCGACTCGGACTTGGATCGTTTAACTGGAAAGCCCGGAAATAAATATTGCAAACAAATTCATTACTCACTTTCTGGAGCGTAGAGTACTTATTTTCTCCGAGTCTTAAATTTTCATCATGAATGTAATCCCAGCGCGTCTGTCTATCATCAATCTTCAGTCCCTAAAAATGAAATAAAGAAGAGCAAATGGATAAAATTCAAATCAAAAGTGGAGGAAGAGAAACGACGACCGGAAATACGTCTGCGGTTCGCAGGCTATAGGGTGACCCTTCATCCCGTCCTCTACAAAGAAGTGACACAGGCTTCAAACACTACAGAATTCCGGCGAGAATCCCACTATCAAACACTGTATGAGCAATCAGGAGATTGTGTGACCAGCTAGTCACTTTATAACGATATGTGTGTGATAAAATCCCAAACGTGAGAAGGCCTTCTGGCGAATAAGTGAGAACTACAGGAGAAACTGCCTCGATCAATAAATTCATTTGGAAATAAACACAGTACGAGCGATCAGGAAATAGTGCATGAGGTCAGCTGCTCACTATCCTTTACTCACTTTATAACGAATTCTGTCTGACTAAATCCCAGACCGGCAAGAAAACCCATGGGCGAATAACTGAGAACTACAAGAAAAAGTCCCAATCAATAAAGAAAGAGCTTTTGGGTACTTCTCTAAATGAAACAATTTCGCTTCCATAATGAATAGTTAAATTTATCACTATCAGCTATTAATGTTACATGTTACATGTAAGCATGCAAAGGACAAACGCAGCCGCGAGAAACGTCAGCATTTTGGAAAGTTGTGAGTATTACATTTAAACAAAACTAATACGGAAAACTGTCAAAGCAGTTTTTACCTCCATCTGCGACTTGAGGTCTCTCAGCTGCTGCTGAATATTCCTGTTTCTGTTGAAAGAAAGCGTTATATAAATAATACATAACTATTATTCCTGCAGGCAGTGTCCCAGCTGAGCACCGCATAAGACAAAAGAGACTTTACTGTACAGCAGTTTTCGTTTTTACCTTTCCCTCTCATATTCTCTGGACAGTTGATTAACCTCGCCATCTGTTAACTGGTCAACACTTCGGTCGATATCGGCAATTATTTCCCTTGGATCGTGGTACCTCTACAGAACAAATAGACAACGAGAACTTTAGTTACTACTGTTAGTTGAAGTAATTTTATTATGAAAAATTGCAGTACCACCTCCTGTTTTGCCTCCCGTGTTTGGTGTTACAGAAGTACTAATTTACTTCCTCGAGAACATTTTTAAGTATAAATAGGACACATACGACCACACTGAAGCCATGAGAAACGAACTAATAGAGCAGAATGCCGTGCCAATTTTGTTTCTTTTACTCACAGTCAAAGACTAAAGATCTTCAAGGTACAGAACTAAGCAGCCTACTCTACGGAGTATAGATTAAACCGAGAGTTTAAAAACTGATTTAATAAGTGAAGATCGAGGGTGGAGGTGACTTGGATATATGTTGTTTCCAGCATTAAAGTCTGTGGGCCTACTCGTCAACAGTGGATACAACATATATCCAAACCACCGTCCAATCCAGTAAATTAATATCCAGTGGATAAGTGGTACTTAGGAAAACCGAAAGTGTCCAGTGGATAGAAACTTGATAGCACTATTCATCTTTGGACAACAAGAGACAGGAATATTGCTCATCCTAAAGCAGCCTAAGAGTTAAGTCAAGAACGTTAGGGCTAAAATTACAGCAATCTACTTCCGTTGCTTTACTAATTACGTCACATCAACCCGGTCATAGGACCATACAAAGAAGCTTTCAGAAAGTAATGTACCAGTTACTTGCTTCTCTAGAAGAGAGGAAGAGTTACTGACTTTAAGCTGGAGATTTTGAGGATCGTTAAAGAAACCTATTTCAGCCGAACAGTTAACTTTCAACATTGTTGATCATAACAGTGTGCAAGTTTTTAAGTGAAATATTGAAAAAGGAACGATATTAACCGCTTCTAGAAGAATTGACAAATGCCCCACCCCTGGGCAGAGGTTTTCTGACAGATTCCCCACCGCGGGAACCGACAAGGTGACGGACGTCTGACGGATGCCCGGTGGGATAGGCACGCCTGGAATTGACTGAGCCTTATATTTTTTTATAATTTTTTGATAACTACATAGTTTCAATAATTTTACATAATTGCCACTTGTTTAGGCATTTGTGAGTTTTTTTTAGCTGTTTTAAGTTTTATTTATTGTGAGTCTTAGGTAACCCTTCAGTGAGGGAACCTGTTTCCTGTTTTGGGTTTCCATTCTTTCAATACTTACAGTCCACTGTATTGGCAAACTATAAAAGGAGGAATGCCACGAGTCTCTAAAGCGCCTGCGCTCTGCTTGGGAGGTCAAAGGATCGATTCGTGAGGGGAATTAGAAGAAATGCACCTCTCTTACAGGAGCTATGATTGGCTAATGTTGCCATTATGTACAATTAGACATCTAGTTGAACAATCCCAGAAATCCAAGGTCATAAGGTCAGTGCCCAGTCTCTGTTAAGTTTCAGACGAGGCAAGTTTTACTTACAGAGAATAGATCTGGGGAAGACGTAAATTCCAGTAGCTTTTGCTTTGCTAGCCTCTCCGCCTGACGTGATTTCATCAAATCTTCTCTCACCAGTAAAGATTCCCTTGCTCTAAGATGTAGAAAAATTCAGATAACATCATTTTATATCACTTGTGATGTACAGCCTTAATAGTCACCTCGCTTAGCGGAATGACTGTTTTGTTCAACAATTTTCATCTTCTGCCAACCGTTTCAAAAAGGCTCCAACACACCACAACAAAATAGCCGCGTGATAAGGTAGAAAGCCAAATTAACGTTCTGGGCCCAGCTGTTAAAAAGGTGGATAACGCTATCCAGTGGATAAATCTCTATCCAGTGGTTTAATTCCTAATACTTATCCGCTGGATAGTGATTTATCCGCTGGATAGCGGTATCCAACGTTTGAACAACCGGGGCCTGATTCAGGAATTGACTATTTTCATAATCACTTTAACTAAATACTGAACTGCTTCAGCCACTCAATGATTTTGCGATGGGATGTTGTATGTTCCAAACGTCGCGAACATTTTTTTTTTACCTTGCTTCGGCCTCTTGCATGACTCTCCTTAATCTTTCTTCTGCTGCTTCACGAGCTCTTCTTTCCATAGCTACTCGCTCGTCTCCTGACTGTAAAAAAACCGAGTAAACAAACACAGTATTGGTCAAGGAATAATAATTTACAATGATAAGCTCCGCTTCCCCTGGTGTTCGACATGTTTGTGTTGCCTGTTTCTTGTCAAGAATGTTCATGCTTGGGTGGTGGTCTCGATGTATCTTACACTCCCCCCCCCGCCCCCGTAAAATATACTTGTATGTGTTGTAGTTTTTTTATTTTTTTCCTTTGTTTCAAATTCATCAGCATACACTACCATACCCAAAAACGATGGAAAAACAAAAATTAACTGAGATAAAAAATTAAGTACAACATATGCGTGCATACCTTGCTGACGTTCATTCGGAGTCTTTTAATTTCTTCCTCTGCATCAGAGGCTTTTTTCCCCAGCAAAGCTGCCTCTTCTTCAGCCACTCTGGCCTTCTCGGCCAACAATTCACCCATCTCTTCAGATTTAATCTAGAAAAGACAACATAAAGTTATTCTTAGTTAATATGTCCAAGTAAAGTGTTTTATTCTATAAAACCGAAACTGATGTAACTACTGCCGAGATACCGCAAAAAAAGTTATTCGAAACCTCAACATTACTAAAACCTCATGTCCTATTTGAGAGTATGCACCAAGGTATTATACAGTTTGGTTAGTTGGGCATGGATGCATTCATTTGCTTACCCCCTAAGGCCCAAATATCTACATACAAATTCTTCAGCCTGATCTCCATACATTTGCTTAAAGAGCCAGTTAAGAGAATTTGATAAAGGATCAAAGCATTTTTTCTTTGGTGATCATTATATCAATTCTCACAACCGTTTCTCTCAATGGTGTATTGATTCTGTTAGGAGAAAATTGATGTTGGTCACTCTTGGGAAATTTATTTACCAATGCTTCCTTGGCTCTACTGGCTTCTTCCTGGTATTCTATCATTCTTCTTTCAAGCTCCTCCTTTTGTTGAGCTATTTCCTCACGTGCTTGCTGTTCTTTCAACAGCTTATCCCTTTCGATCTACAACAAACAATTTTAAAATGAATACCAAAAAGTAGGGCAAATATGTACGTTGTTTACTGTTACAAGTATTTTGAGAGTTATTTTAAGTGTATATGGATGTCGTTGTACATTAGTTGTATAAAATATGTGATGCTGGATGCAAAAGTTAAAAGATATATAGTAATTGAATTAATTATTATATCAAGTGCCTTTATACTTTTAAATTTTCTAAGACTTTCATAAAAACCATTTTTATGTCAGCTTATGAAAACACCACTTTTTCCAGGGATCCCATTCATAAAAATAAAATCAAGACTGGCTGTTTTTTTGTTTACTTTACTCTTCTGCAAACACTCATCAGCCATGGGTGCTAAAGAGTTTAGAAAATTTGGCTACAGCTCACATAAAGTTGGAATAAGATCTCACAAACTTCTCTTGCTTAAATGCTTGAAAACTGAATAAACAGAAATCTTTTGACTTCACCTGCCGTCTCATTTTCTCCTCTCTGGCTAAAGATCTCATCTGTTGCATTTCCATAGTATCTGGTTTTCTCCTCCGTGTGAAAAGTTCATGGTTACCAATACACAAATCAAGAATCTGTTAAAAAAAAAAAAATGAAAGGAAAGTATGAAGCTAAAATTATTATCATTTCATGGCATTTTAGTATCTGTGTCACACAACCAGATTATAATTACTCAACAAAATACTGAAAAAAAACAGTTCTTCTGCTTGCATACGCACCACTTTGTTGACTCTAAGTTTTGCTGCATGAAATATAAAATCTGGGGATGATTTTTCTGCTGGTTTGATCTGAAACTAAGAAGCCATGTATAGTAATTAGTGTATATGATTTGACTTTGTCCAAAAAATGGGTGTGTAGCTCAAGAAGACTTCATTACTGTATAATGTTATTGCCGGGTTGCAGATAATAAAACCAATCAGGCATCAAGGATGCAAAAACTAGACTTGAGGGCTTTTACTAAGATTTCAAGTTTCAGGGTATAATTTATGAAGTTTGTAAGCATACAGTGAACTGAAAAGTTAAAAAGGTGGTTTACCATTTTGTATGAGCAAACTGGTAGGTTCATGGTGTGGGTGAATGATGAGCAAAATTCAACACTGCTAAATTTTATCCCAGAGTCGCTTTCATCATTTGCACTAAACAGTTACAGTTATGCCAAAAAACGGCCATAGAAGGCTGAAACCGGTATCAAAGATTGCTTTGAAGAAATGGGACACAAATGTCTGTTTGGACATTGTGACCGGTAAAACAAGGCTACCTTTTAGATGTTCCATTGCTTCAGGATATGTTCCACTAAAACGACCTGAAAAGCCGTGTTCCATTTACTTTCGAAATGGATTTTCTGGAAAGTTTTTGTAAATGGTAAAAAACCACAGTTCTGTTGATGCTATTTTCCTTGTGTCTCCAATGAAGGTAGCCAGAGGTCATGCCCATAGTAGCCATGGAAATCCCCAGCCCCTGAGCCCTTAGTTACAGCCCTGAAACTGCTAGCAACAACTGAAATTACTTTGCAGTTGTGGCTTCCTCAAGTGATTGGTAACAACACAATACCGATCCTGAGATATTTCAGGTGTTTGTGGTTCTCCAGATTTGACAGTGAAAATGGGATTATTATGGACACTTACCCGTTTATCGTGAAAAGAAATATTCTTTGTCTCATTCCAAGGAAAGGAGATTTTTGGATTAAGTTTGTTGTCTTTCTCGTATATGTTTAAACCATGGGCATCAATCCCAAGCCACAAATCTGTCCCTTTTCTGTTCTGCAAAATGACAACGGTAACCACTAAGTGTTAAAGAAAACATTTCCTTCACCCATTTGACCTCAACTGTTCTAAAATTATTTCTGCAATTGTTGATGAAATCTGTTTTGAATGGCTTATCTAGCCTATTCACTTGCCATTCAGTTGTTTGAACAGATACAGTAAGAAACATTTTTGTGTATGAGGTCACTGTCAACTTTGCTGTGCCAAAGTCAAGTTGTACAACAAACTTTCAAATTACAAAATAACAGGAAAACAGTGTAAAGTGATATCAGTTATAATGTAATGATATGCAAAGAGAGGACAACAATACAATTAATAATAGGCACTGAGGTAAACATGCATCAATTCAAATGTTCATTAAACACAGTGGTGGATCCAGGAGAGGGGCCCAAGCCCAAGCCCTCATTGTTTTTCAACCAAAATTATGGCCCAAGGAAAAAAAAAAAATTATTATGAGACCCCTTTCCCTGAACACAAGGTGAGGACGAGCAGCACCCCCATTTCCTCAAGGTCTGGATTCACCACTGAACAATTTAACATTTGTTTGTGATGCGAAATGTTTGATGCTGAAAGCCATTTAAATGCAATGTTAAGAGAGGTGGCTAATCAGAAAAACAAGCTCTTCAAACACGATGCTAGAAGAAAATGTTTGATAATTTAGCCAGGGCTTTAAGGCCTATTTAAACTTTTCAGTACAGATAGTAGCAACTATATGTTGGGGCCCTTAAATAATGCAACTGGTCTTAACTAAAGAACCCTTTCAGAAGGACAGACTGTTCTTAGCAGTCACAGTACCTTGATTTCAAAGTAGCTCACTCCATACATCTCTAAATCTTGTGCTATTTTCAAGTACTCCATTTCTGCTTCATCTCTGGTGTAAATGAAATGATAGTTAAAAAAGTTAATCGAGTTAACAATTACCAAATCAAAACAAATTTGCTTAAAGTGAGAGTCCACTGACCAGAATTGAAACACAAATGGGCAATATTAATTGCAGAGCATAACTCTCTAGGTAAGGCACCCCAGTTCTGTGATGACAATTATGTTGACTCCAGGAATTATAAACAGAGGCAAGTAAGGGAAAAAACATAGAACAGTGAAACCTTCATGTGGAACCATGTCTCACATGGAATCACCTATCATAATAAAAATCACCACCTCCCATAGAGTGATGCCACCAGATCTTGGCATTTTGGGTAGTTTGTCGTGCAAGGGTTGACCACCACTTATTTTATTCTTCATCACTTTTCAACACCAAAAAAGCTCTGCCTAAGCTGCTGTTTGACTTTTGGCTAATGCCCCTTTTTGTCTTTTGTGATCAAGATCAAAATAAATGACCAATTGCATTGCACGAAGATCAACTCCAAGAGTTGCTAGTGCCCCTGGCACTATCAAAAGAACTCAACCATATGAGACACATGAAACCCAATTAATCAAGATGACCATTTTCTGTACTAACAGCAGAGAAAGAAAAACAGTTACACCTTCTCATTCCTTTGTGTTCAGCATACCATGAGGTAATTCTCTCTTCCCACATGTCTGATGTCATCTGGTACTGGTCAATAACCTGAAGTATAAATTAATCGTTAAACAAATTTTCTTTACTGAAAGCACAACTGCTACAATAACTGTGCTCATCAGGTGTTGCTGTACATGTAATCTTTAAGTGCTTAATTTGTGACAAAAATACAGTCAAACCTCTTTAATACGGACATCAAAGGGACAGAACCAAGCTGTCCGCTTTACAGAGGTGTCCGTATTATAGAGGTAGGGAATGTATGATTTTTGGCATTTCTGGGACCAAACAAACTGTCCGCAATAGAGAGGTGTCTGTATTATAGAGGTGTCTGTAAGGAGAGATTAGACTGTACCTGACATCAAACCATGCATTTGATCCTAGAAATTTTGGTCAAAATAATATATTGTCTGAGCCAAAACACTAAACAGGTGGAGCTGTTTTCTGGTTACTTCCTGGCCAAAAGAACCACAAGTGAAAAAACTATTAGAAAACTATTCTGGCTTAAGTCTGTTCCTGGTGCTAAACTGCAGCTTCTGAACTTTGGGGGAAAAGGGGTAAACTTTCAAGATGTTTGGTTTGAAATGAGACACTGCCTCCTCTATTTTTACGTTTTGCTTCTTCTCCTTCCCACTTTTTTTCACTTTTCTACCCTTTTTGTTAGTTATTTTTGCTGAGCATTCACCAGGCTTCATTTCAGAGGGAAAAGTTTCCCTGAAGATCATGAAATAACCTTCAAGGAAGTATCCCATAGATGGGTGGTGGAACAAAATATTCATCATAGCAGTTTTCTTGTCTTTCTCGCCTGTTTCTCTATTTCTGAATCATACTGATGCGGATATGGTTTAAAAGATCTCTTTGCCTTGCACAAGTTAGAAAATATTTTGACACATGCTAGACAAATCAAAATTTTGCCTCGTGTCAACATATTCCATAAAACAAGAAACTAGATATAAACAAAAAAGTGTGATGCATGTGCAAACTTTTGGTTTTGCTTATAGAACCTATAATTGCATTTTTGCTCTTCTCATTGCCATCGCCACTGTCGTTGCTTAAGTTGACAGAACCTAGCACGGAGGAAAACTGAACGCGCCAATGAATCACATGATCGATGCAGCCAGCTACCGGGCATGGGCATGCCAAGGACCATAGACCTCAGGCACTTAAGGCGCTCTTAGTTGTTAACTTCCTTAAATTGCATTTAAATGCATTTAACAGGTTAGTGGAACCTCTTGACATACAGCTAGGTAATAACACTACAATTGGCAGTCAAATCATAGAAAGGATCACCACATTAACTCCCAAATACTGACCCTTTGAGGAAGCAATAAATCATTTGCAAGAAATCCTGGAGTATGAAATTCCTTGTCATAGTCCCCATACTAAAATAAAAAAAACAAAATTTGAAAAAAGTTAGCACTCTTCAAGGACAATTGCGTACCAATAAGATACAAGAATTAGCAATAAACATCATCTATTGTGAGCTATTACCACTCTACCTGTGGTCATAACTTGGTAGGTGTCTAATTCAATTACCATATATTCTCTATTAAGCCCCCTGGGGGAGCTTATTTATTAATTCAAGCCCATTTGAATGAGGGGGCGGGGGGGGTGGAATTTAATTTAATGGTATCAGTTCTCCATAAAGAACTAGAATACAAAGTGGAAACGTTCAAGTACAAGAAGGTTGGAGGTCATGCTGCTGAGGATCAGAATAAAAATTTATCTAAACTTCCATTTGGTAAATAAACCGCCCTGGATCAGCCCACACAAAGTTGATGATTGATTAATACAGTCTATCATTTATCAGTGAGGAATAATTAGGTGAGTGGAGAGGGGGGGGGGGGGGTCTTATTAACATAGCTCAAGCTTTATTTGTTTACATTCACAGTAAATAAACTTTAATTAACTTTCTTCCCTTGAAAAGGGGAAGAAAGATTATTAGAGATGGGGCTATCTGAGAGGGGGGGCTTAAGAGAGGATTTACGGTACTGAGTATCTTTACCTTAGCTTGTACAGCATAGGAAGCAAGGAGAACAGATGCCTCTGGGGGACAGAAGATGTCCATGTTCAAAATGGCTTCCTTTACTTGCAGAAAAAACAAGTGCTGTGTTATTTCTTGCATGAGTTCCTCAGCTACATCCTCAGGATAAAACTTTATTCGGAAATTTAGACTCACTGGATCCTCCTTTGGAATATCTTGATCCAAGACCTGTAATACGCAGAATAAGCCATCGTCATATCATCTTCAAATTGTTAGAGAGCTTTAGTATCCAAATTGGCAACAGCAGTGAAAACGTCACTTTTAAAGCGAATTTGCATGTTTCAAAACTTTGTTGCATTTATTTAATTTCAATGAAAATGTTTAATGTAGGCAAATTTCCCTCAGGAGTTGATTTCTTGGGAACCGCACTCGAGGTTTAGAAAGAGAATGAAAAATTTGTTGTTGCTTGTTTACAGTTGTATGTGCTCCACAGAATGTGTGATTAAGCATTTTCATGTCGTAGTTGTGCAATGGCAGCAGAGAAATGTACAATGAAAGGCTCCTAGGAGCGAGCTGATGGATGAATTGATTTGTAAACGAGCATGGCTTCATGTTTGGGGGACCAGAAAGAAGTGCAAAACAAGTGATTTTTAATTGGCCCACAGAAACTATTGTCTATAGGACATTACAAAGTCTTTCCATAATCAAAATGTAAATGTGCCATGGTGAAGAAATTTACTTCTTCAAAACTAATAGCACTGTAAGTATTCACTCGCCAATGCACATGATGCTGGAGTCTTTGGAAAACTTGACATTGTGAATGGCTCAAAGTTGCTACCATCTTTCTTTCTTTGGTCTTTGAAAAAAAAACATTGCAAATGGCAAAGAAGCTTGTCAAGATGATCAGGTGCAGGTATTTGCAGCGATGTTTGTTATCATATTTGTCAAAAAAATTGGTTGTTTTCTGCCAGTCGATTTTCGTCTTTTTAACTGTGTACTGCGATAACACTGACTAAAATCCTCTTCTTTGATAAGATTATCATTCAGTTTCTTCATCGCCTTTATTCACAAGTAAACACAGGTCAAAATGTTGAAGGACAAAGTCAGCATCCAAGTCCTCAAGGTTGAAAGATGTCTTATAACTTTTTTTAAACCCTTTTTTTTTTTCGAGATAAAGAGATTTAGAGCTGTGAAATGCATGAGCATTTACTCTTGAGATTTTGGTCTGTATGACAAGTTACAGACCACAAATTGACTGATCACACAGCAGAAACAGACTGAGCCATATAATATGCAAATTATTTGAGTTTTATTCATTTAAATCTTACTTTTGCATTATCTTTTGTTCTTTGCATGAATTGGCTGTGCAATAACCAATTAAATTTCCAAAAATATGATAGTAACCTATTTTGCATAGAGAGTGTTGGAAGCTTTTGTCTAGCTTTTGTTCAGGGAGCAGGTCAAGACTGCCGAGATGAATAATACTTTTCCACTTTCATCTCAGAACATGCTTATAATCAATAAACAGTGTTATGTTAATCACATTACTCTCATTATTTTACAAAAAATAAATAGTTATTATTACATACATACAATGGACAATATAACTATTGAAATTTGACACTCAGGTAAACGTTAGATTCTCAGAGAAATCAGACTAACAATCAAATCACTGCCAATATAAATTTTATTCTTGATACACTTTTGTTCTCCAGAAAATTACTGACATCATAGAGCTATGAAAATTAAAATTGTTTACAAACATTCTTAAATGGAGAAAATGTCTTTTAAGGACAAGATGTGAATTCAATGAAAAACAATTAAATATTTGACCCCTTATCATGTGAAATCAGTTAAGGATGATAAACACCCTAAAAGACTTTAACAATTAACATTGATGAATTTTCTACCTGAAGCCACATGGCATTTTGCGTACACAAATTTGATGCAACCAGATTAATTAACCACCCGATACTAGATCATTCTAATTTTCTAGCCATTAAAGAAGGGCGTGTGATACCTCATACCTCACAAAGTATTAAAGTATGCTTCAAGCAAAAGATAAATCAACAATATAATGACGACTGCACAACCACCTGCTTACAATGACAATTGTGCGAACAAAAAGCAACCTTACGAGGCTTTTAGCTATTGTTTTGATTCGCTCTGGGCTATTTAGTACGTAGTCAGCTGTGATGCAAAAATAGTTTTTCATCAAATGGAAAGATTTTTTTAATTTGCCCCCCGAACTTTCCCAAATTTTAAATCAAGGCTTCACTGAATTCAGCCTTGGTTTTCGAGGCTAAAATACATGTAAGTGTGGCGTTGAAAATTTTATTACTAGTTAAATACAGTTAATTTACAAGATAAGCCAAAAATGAAGAAAAATACACATGTCGTGGGAATTACGCTGAAAACAGAAAATTGTGTCCCTAGCTTATCAAAACGTCAACAAATAATGTACATGCCACAAAAATGAGCTCAATGAAAACTATTAGGTTAATAGCACGTACGCTAATGAATTGAGATCCGACATAAGTAAGGAACTCTGTAATGAGCAGTGATTACTTGAAGTTCCACCATGTTCACATGCTGCGTTTAAGCGGTTGATATTGACATTAATTTTTCAAATGACTTACGTCAAAATAAACCTGTCTCTAACTACATAACCTTACCTTCTTATTAAATTTTAGCCACGTAATAACATTTTTCCTATCAACAAATTGCAAGCCAAAATACCATGTTTCCCGAACACCAAGGGTTCGTACGACGAGATCGAACAACTCTTTTCCAGTGCAATTTCTCTGTAAGAGAGAGAGAGAGAGAGACGAAACGGCGTAATTCATCAAATTAACGCGTTTAAATAAAGAATCTACAGTAAAAAGGACGCTAATAGATGCCATGTAAACAACATACAGCAGCAGTTGTGTTTATGAACTAACCTCGACTGAAAACTCTAATTCCGCGTCCAGAGTTGTGATACGAACATCGTATGTCTTCGGCATATTTACGCAGCATCTGGGAAGATTTTTGCAACCCAAAAATGCTACAACCAGATCCTTAGCATTCTACATTGCAAATCTATTTCTGATACAGCATTGTCATCATTTCCTTTTCTTATATGATTACGCTCAAAATTTTTGAAATGCCTCGGAGCGTGGTCAAAAACATTCATCCTTGAGCATAACTCCGCTGACCAAGTTCGCTCCCGTCATGTAGCTTGCACTAAACGTCGCAAAAAAATAGTGGTTTCAAGTCAAGGCTACTAAAATTCTACTTTTAAGACTACTTTTACCCGCTCTAGTCCCCGGGTCTAGTCCGCTTTCGTTAGATGTAGGCTGAAAAGTTGATTATCATGTCTGTCACCACTTTCAAGCATCATATTACACAGTCGTCTAGTAGAGTTAGGGCCTCTTCACACATGTCACATGAACCGAGAAATTATTTCAGCCCGATTTCCGAGATGAGACTGAGGCCAAAGATCGTGGAGACGAGTTCTGGCGCCAAAACCGAGAAACAAAGCAAACATGGCGAAATAACAAAAATTTTAACTTTCGCGCCTATCATAGCTTCGGCAACTCTTAAAACTGTATCACGGCAGTTAAATGGGATGCTTATGATGTGGAAAATACAGCAGGCAACGCTGTAACGATGCCGCAACGGTGCCATCCCATGATCCGGAACGATCCGGAACGCCAGAATGCATCCCGCTATCACGGTCATCCGGTGTTACTGGCTGGTCTGAAGTGTTGATATGGCAAAATTTCCAGCCCACCAGTACCGAGATCTCGGGAACCAAGACAGCCGGTCGACAGCGGGGCCGCCCTCTTATACACACATCGAAAATTTTACAAAAGATAGAGGTAAGGCGAGATCTCGGAAACCGGGCTCATGTGAAAAGGCCCTTAGTAGGGTCATGTAGAGTAATTGAGCTCACCACGATTTTATACCTCAGTTGGGATTTCATCTTCACTGGGCGCCTTGTTATTGTCCTCCACAAAACGTGAACTATTAGGCAGTTTCACGTCGTAGACGTGCAACGACAGCAAAGAAATGTACAAAAAAAGCGTGCAGAGTTGTTGTTTTGCTATCTAAAGGTGATGTTACACGGGACGATGCGCAACGACGATTTTTAGCGCAACACAGCGTTGCGATGCTGGAACAATGTTGTAACCATTCGAAACAATGTCGCAACAGTGTTGCAACGCTGTGTTGCGCTAAAAATCGTCGTTGCGAATCGTCTCGTGTAACATCACCTTAAACTTATTGGTTTTTTGACGTTCTCGTTGCCGTCACCGTTGTCGTTGCTTAAGCTCTCTAATGTCCCCATTGAAGGGCTTGACTGTATTGAAAGTGCTTCAAAGTTAATTAAGGCACCGGTGCTAATCGGGCCAATCAAGATCGGGAGTGTGTCCTGTACAATCTTTCTATTTTTCTAACCGGGTTTCTGTTTTCGATAGGTTGCTGTCTGGCCCAACTAGAGCGTGGCAAAATTCTCTCTCCATTTCTCCAGCTTTTCTTCAGCAGTTTCGCCTTGAAGACGACCTGTCTGTCCCAGCGTTAGTCTTATTGACGGTGTCCCAAGCTCTTTTTGTCTATGTCGCAGGGAAGGCAAGCGTCTCTGGGCTAGCCTACGAATAGTCTGCGTACTGGCGGTGTTTTGGTGTTGTTTTTTTAATTTGTGGTTCGCAAAGTAAGATTTTCAGCCGTGCCGCAAGCTGAACTCTTACTTGGCGAACCACAAAATAAAAAAACACACCAAAAACCCACCAGCTACGCAGACTAGCCCACGAATACAGCAGTCTCTCTTTACTCCTCGCTCCTTGCCGCTACGGACGCGGACGTTTCGAGCGAGGAGAGATCAGATAGCTTGATTTGCAAGCTAATCAGTTCTGGGCTAGATATTGCGCTTGTTATCATGGTGTTTCATAACTTCTTCCTTTGCCGGCTTGTTTTAGTTCGCTTTGTCAGAATTCGGTAGGCACTTATAGTCTTATACCGAGCCTCATATAGGCAATGCTTAAGGCGAAATTTTTCCCCTCGAACTCGCACAACGGAGCCTGCTCGAAGGCTACATACAGGCTCTCCTAAACCTTTTATTTATACATTGTACTCATCTTCTCATTGGCTAAAGAAGCCTACAGTTAATTTTGGAAATTCCGCAGTCCAACCTACAGAAGCTAACAGATTATAGTACGGCTAGCAGATTACTCACTAATCTGTAGGTTGCGAGCGCAATGCATGATTTCCAAGGTTTTGTCAAACTGTGTTCAATGCGATGGTGTGTTTGTCGTTATTTTTCTCAAAACATTGTATAATTGTTTTTGTGATATCCCAAACAATCAAGGTCTCGGTGAGTGTTATCAGCCTCGGTCTTCGGCTCGGCTAGCCTGCGTGACAGGCTTTTTTTTTTCCCCCTCGTTTCCTCTCAGGAATGCTCTTCTCAGCCGCATCCCCGTGAGCATTGATCATTTTAGCGTCGTTATCCTCGCTTTTCGGGACAGCTGAGCGCGGCTTACACGGCACGAAAAATTTGATTTACATCAAATTTATTACTTATTAGTGCAAATTCGGTGCAAAAAAGTGCAAACTTAGTTTAAATATACGGCAAAGATGGTAAATACCGCATTTGCCTTCAAATTTACAACCCCAAGTAAACTGGCAAGCAAATGCGGTATTTACCATCTTTGCTTTTGATTTACTCCTAGTTTGCACTTTTTTGCACCATATTTGCAACGAGTAAATTTGTGTAAATCCAATTTTTCGTTAAAACGATTCTTATATAGGAGGGTTTTCCGGTCATCTAGGTGATTTGTCACGAAACTGTCATTTATGTCACGGGTCACGTAAGTCACGGACGCATCATGGCAAGACAGTCAGAAACATTTTTCCCTCCCTTCCCTCCCGTTAGCTTTATTTTACCCTAGGGAATGGCGGGTGTGCCCTCACCTTTACTGGGATAATGTTCTTGTGTTTGTGGTTTTCCCAGCTTTATATGCTTTTAATTTAATAAACGGCCACTCCCGTGGCCAAAATATCCCATAATGGGTTTGTGATTTTTTTGTGTTCCAGCAAACAGAGTTCGCCCAAAGCGAGACTCCACCAACATCAATAACTCTCGTAATATGTAAAAGAACATAATCATCATTAGTGCCACCTGATGAAATTTGCTTGGTATCATCTTCATAGAGCGATTTTCGTACGACCTTGAAATGAAAACTTGCGAACAAAACAGAAACAACAAACGAAGGGAAATAGAGCGATTTGATTGGTTTGTCGAACGGATACAAACGCGCGTCGCTTTTGGTTGGTTAAGCGAAAGCTCGGCTGAAAAAACTTCATGCCCGAAGAACTTTCTAGAAATCGCTTTGACGTCATACTGCAACACGATTGGCCAATCGAACAATGCGTTCTCTGTATTAGGGTTCTCTTTGGCGGGAAAACGAAGAGTCCATGTTTTGATCTTTTCATCGATTGGCTAATAAAACAAATAACGAACACTTACCGAAACCATTTTTCAAGGTCATACGAAAATCGCTCTAACTCTACACAGGCATTTTACATAAGGGTTCAGGCATTAAGTTGACTTCACCACAGAATTGACCTAAAACAGCAATATCCTCGTGATATAGCCACTTAAAGGTGATGTTACACGGAACGATTCGCAATGACGATTTTTAGCGCAACACAGCGTTGCAATGCTGGAACGATGTTGTAACCATTCGAACAATGTTGCAACGCTGTGTCGCGCTAAAAATCATCGTTGCAAATCCTCTCGTGTAACATCACCTTAAAAATCAGTCGCAGCAACCAGCAAGGTTAACTGCAATTTGAAATTTACATTTGTAGCGTTTATTTAGTTGAGAGGACTTGAAAAATGAGACGTGCACACAAAGGTGTGTTAGAAATGCCATCTCTATTACACTAACCATCAGAATTCCGTTTTACCAGTATGTAATATCGTCAGTGTAAGTTTTCCCACAGGTTATGTTTTTGAAGTCTTCCTCAAGTGAGTTACTGTCTTTTAATCCTTTTCCCTTTCTGGGATTAATTGTTTTTTCCTGAAGATAAGGCTGTTTTGTTACAGACTGCAAATCAGTCGGTTTTTTCTCAAGATCGGTTTGTCATGGCGCACAGTCTAGTTTTGTAGGACTTGGTTATGCCTTTAAGTTTTGATTCCTTCCATCCCAAGGATACAATATCAGAAGTCTCAAGTTTGTTCTTCCAGTGTGCAGAGAAAGTCATAGACTCATGTACGATAGCCCTGAGGCTAGTGGACTTTTCTATCAGGCTAGTGAATTCTGTTTTTAACTTCTCCGATGGGCATGTGAAGTTTCTTGGGGGAATTCAAATTACAGAAGATCTGTAATCAATTCGGCTCGTTCGAATTTTTTTCAGGCAAGTTAAAAAGTCTCATGGTCTAGTTCATGCTATTTTGGCAAGCTATGAACCTGACGTTCTTTGCTCCCTGACTTCACATCAATTCAATAACATTCCACCAATTTTTGTATAAAGCAGGTTGCAAAAATAGTTGCCTGCCTGTACTTAGATCACAAAATTACTGACAACTTGCAACATTCAAGAAGGCTACCAACAACAAAAAAAAAGATACTGATATTTCTGATTAAGTCAACACTTTCGCACCACTTACATACAACAAAATACGAGTAAGAATTTTGTAAATTCCAGAGGCTAAGAGTGGCTTTGGTAATTTTTTTAACTATGATAAGTGGGGACAAGACGAGCGATTGGACGCCTACAAACAGGGCAGTTGTTCACCTGCCGTGCGCATTCTAAGCAACAACAGATGTGGCCACAGTCTAAAATGACAACATTGCGTGGTCTGTCCATGCAAACAACACATGCTCCCTGGGGATCCAAGACCTCACCATCCCCTACAACAGTCACATCATGTTGCATCCTCCGTATAAAATCATCTTCAATCTGTCTGTCACGTCGTCTCTTGATATACAAGTAAAGTGAAACAAGGAACAGAATTCCACTACCACAAGCAAAGATTGCGCTCAGAACTTTCCATATCTTCTTTCCCGATTGCAGCTGTCGGATGATGGCATCTAAGGTAAGTTGCGATAGATAATAAGTCAGACCAGATTTTGGAGGTCCTATCTTGATGCTATCACCATCCAAACTGATTTCTCCAATTCCTGTTAGTGCTGTACCAACAGGTAGCATTTCTTCAATTGTTTGAAATCCCTTTGTCTTATCACCGGTGGCCCACTGTACCAAGGAGTCAGCAACAGAGCTGGACACTGGCTCAAACTTATCTTGTATAACTTTTAGCTGAAGTTTTTCTGCAGACATTGGTTCCATGACTTTGATAAGGATCCCCTTGTGTAATAAGGCAAAAGGGACTGAAGTAGCAGCAGAACTTATGGTCCTTTCAACATCGTGCCTAGAATTGAAAGATATGAAATCAATAATAATAATAATAGTAATAATAATCATTATCGTCATCATCATAACAAGCATGATAATAATAATAATAATAATAATAATAATAATAATAATAATAACAATAATAATAACAATAATAATAATAAGATGGCTTTGACTGAGAACCTCAAGACTAGATCAAACCACAACATCTTTGGTGTGAGGAAATCTGTGATACAGGCAAGTTAGCAGTTGGGGAAAAGAATCTTGCAAAGGTTCTCAGTAATCTGGGTGACCCTTTGTACAACATTTGCCTTATACGTTGACTAGTGCGAATGAAGAAAGACACCTTCTTAACACCACTGCAGTATTGTAACTAGACTTTCAAAAAAGTCCTTCGTCAGATTTCATATGGCGCGGGACAAAGGACTTTTCATACTTGATTGGCGCCAATTTTATCGACCCAAAAACGGGTAGGTGCGCTTGGACCAATCAGAGTAGCTCCCAAGGACCCTTGGGGATAAAGCTGTCACCCACAAGTACTAAGCGCATTAAAATGTGACTTGCATTCCAATTCCAACATGGGGTCGATTGCGAACTGAAAGGTGTCGATAGGCCAAACACGACTCATAAGCTCGTGATAGTGTGATACATGACCTTATGGTTTTGCTCTACCGAGGATATCTCCCAGCGATTTTTCTCTTTTATATGAAATGATGGGAGGCTCGTTGTACATTTCTCTCAGTAGTGGTTGACCTTGAATTAAGTGCCATTTGCTCATTAAAATGTTTTTAAGGTTCTGCAAAGCAGGGTGGTTTGTGGTAACGAAAGGCAGAATTTTCTTTCGCACTTCATTGTTCTTTTGTAAAGCTGACTTCCGTTCGGTAAATTTAACCTCAGAGGTGATTTTTTCTATGAGATTGTGAGTGTAACCTCTAGCGTGAAGGCGTTTTTTGAAGTTGTAAATGTTTTCATAGAAGGATTTAGCTGAGGAGTTAGTTCTCAGTTTATGAGACCTTTTCTGACCCCGTAAGGGTTACAGGAAGAGACATGCATGTATTGAAAGTCTCTGTAGGTTTAAAATGTGTGCGGATGTCAAGGATTCCTTGGGTGTGAAATCTCCTTTCCCAGTAATGACTCGAGATTGAAACAAGCTTTGTTTTTTTCCGGCCCCCTGAGGTCGTCAACTTTCGCACAAAGTAAACAAATTAGCTCCTTCGATGATGGAGATACACACACACATTCAAAGGATTGAGTTGGAGTGGAATCAGCACATTCTGCCATTGAAAAATGAAACCTGAAACCCCAAATGCAAGTCACGTAACTCCCCATTTTTGGCACAAAATGCAAATGGAAACCCATCAAGCAAGACAAGTCGACCTCTCGCGACTTCGTTGCTTGCAGTCGGCCGCTTCATGGCCAAACAAGGCTCGCTCCACTCGTCAAGAGGTTGACTTGTAGCAAGTCTATGTTGTAACTTCCAAAAGAAGGACGGGGGGAATTCTTAAAAAAAATTGCATGTACATGTATAAATTTAATTTACTAGTGAATAAGAGTGAAGTTTAAATTCACACTTCATTGATAGGAAATTCAAGTGCAAGAGTTGCAAACAGGAAATTACATACCACAGTCTAGTTGTCTTACTCCATTCACTTTTGTGTTCCCGTGTTTTTATGCGTTGTATGAGTCCAATAGCATCTTGCACATGAGCACTTCTTATGACTTCTGTTCTTTTTAAAGGTATTGCTTCTCCTCTTACAACACCATATGGTATTGAATGATTCTCTGCCTTCCTCAAAGTGTCTATCAATTTTGGACCAATTTCCATTTGTACTGCATCCTGTTTGGAAAAAAAATGTTGGTATTACTGCTACTGTGATCTATCAACAAGAGGAGAATAACATTTTCTGGGTTCACACAGATTTTGGATGCAAAATTTAAGACTTTTTGAGGGTGTCCAGCGGATTGGTTGCTTAAAGTAATAGGAAAATAGGAAACTCAGGATTGAGAAAATAGGAAAAATAGGAAACTTTGTATTAAAAAATAGGAGGTAAATATGAAAATCAATAGTACTTTTCTCGACAAAGATAGACTCCCTGCACCACATCAGGGTTATAATTAAGGCTACGAGTCCTCAGCTTCAACGTTCGCAGGATTTTGATCAACTTTCACCAGCAGGAAGGCATGAAAATGATCAGTAATGTTTATTTTATTGGCTCAGAATGTGTAAGCAGAACTGATGATATGCTTGACTAGAGGTTGAGGGTGGTTCTATAATCAAAGACGATCATATGCAAATTCCCTTCAAGTTGGCAGCAAATCTTTGAAAAGCTCCGAAGAGTGATATTTCTTAGGACAGAAATTTCTTATGATTGCGAACTGTCATTGAGGGATATCGAACTGGGACTTAAAAGTCCTATGGAAAGCTTTCCTTCCATTAATCTGCAATCAGTAGCTGGTTGAGAATATGCTTGTTTAGGTCAAAAGACTGCACATTTTAATTTAAGAACAGAAAAAGGCTTTCCACTGTGTACGCAAAATGAAACTGATCTATTTGGTACCAGAATGTAAGTGTGTCATTGTTAAGTTCTAAGAAAAACATAACACTCTCCTTAGCTATGTCTGCAAGACCGGTTTTGCAACCAAAATATTGGATCCTTCGTCAGTTGCTTAGGTATAGCTGTTAACAAACTAAAGGGCTCACCAAGGGGGCTAGTGCCGTGAACTAAACTTTAGCTGTTCTTTTCATGTAGCATCCAGAATCAGCTAGTGATGCAATGGTGTTTTAAACAAGAAGCTGATTAGATGATTTATCTGTCCTTTGTTGTGAGAGGACAACTTGATCCTGTTTTCAGTTTCAAAAATAAACATAAAAGCGTACATACTTTCTGTATCCTATGAACATTATTATTCAGTAGTCATGAGAACTATAACACGACATACAATACATGTAGGTGCACTAGAAAATTATACAAAAAGTAACAACAGAAAGTTCTCTAATAAGCAATAGAGGACATACAAAGAACAAATGTAACCATTACTTTTGCTAATATTAGAACATCAACGTCAAAATACTACTTGCTTTATGACAAATCTCACTCAAAAACACATACACCTATAATTCCATTTTCAATTTTGTTGCAAATTTTGGCTTCACCAGCTAAAAAATAGGAAAAATAGGAGGTTTTAGTTTAAAAATAAGAAAAAGATAGGAATAGGCTCAAAAAATAGGAAAAAATAGGAACTAGACACCCTGCTTTTTCTCTTTTTCAAAAACAATAAGTTATGTTTCCACATCGAAGGTTATCAAATGATTGATCCTTAGAAACCTTGACAATTGCAGGAACCAGGCTTTGCCCATAATCACAGTAAACATACAGTAACCTCAGTGCAATGTAGTATAAGAGAGTTCTGAAACTTCTCAATTTCCAAATGAATGCTTTGCCCCAGACAAGATCAGAAAGATCTGACTACTGAAAGACAATATGATTTCACTTTGCAATAATAAGCACTTGTAACAGTTTTTGAAAAAAAAAAAAGGCAAGATTTCTTACCATTTTTCCAGACTTAATCTTTATTTTCCACACATGTGCAGATTTTTTCAAGAATTCAAGAATTATTATTATGAATAATTATTTCTTTCATAGTAAAGCTTGGGAGGATATTACACGGTGGTGCAAAGATATGAATTTTATTTTTGAGTGGCAAAATAATATTTTATGAACACGCAAGTGAGTAAAATACTGTTTTTGCCACAAGAAAATAAAATTCATAGTATCTTCAAGCTGTTGTGATCTTGTAATTGAAAAAATAATAGATAGTAGTGCCCAAGGACATACAAAATGAAGTCTTACAGACCATCCACTCAGGCCACTTGAGCAAACCCAAGTGCATTCTCCTGGCTAGAAAGTATGTATTCTTGCCAGGTATCTCCAATGACATCAGACAAATGGTGAAGGGCTGTCACTTATACAACAAACACTCACCAGCTCAGCCAGTGCTGCCAATCATGCACCCTGATCTTCCCAGTCGACCATGGGAATAAATTAGGAACAGACATCTATGTCTTCAACAGAAGGAAGTACCTCATGATCGTCTACTATTACCAAAATTAAATCATCCATAAACTCACGTGTAAGATTATGGAAAATAAACCACTCGGGTCCCAGATGTAGCTTTCTATGAATTTTATGAGTGGTATATTTTCTAGTAAAACACTCATGATAACAAAGTTGATTAACACACTTCTCCAGAATCACATGTGATCTCTAATGGGAAAATGCACCTTTAAATGACTAAGAATAGTTCAAAAGCTGGTCATCAACCCATCACTTACATACAAAGGGAGCCACTCAAACAGCTTCCCCTGTCTTATACCTCAAGGCCAAGTTTCAGCATTGTTCTAAGCGCCAATCTAAAGTTAGAGCGGAAAACATGGAACACACGTGTTACATTGTTATGATCTCATTTTAGATGTGATATTTGAGATGTTAGGAAATTTGTCTTTTACCCAAAGAACTCTTGTCAATTTCTTCATTAAAAATCTAACATTTTTTCTTTATTGAATAATTATAGCAAATTTATCGTTTTTTATCCTTGAAGTGATTGTCAAAATGCTGTTCAGCAGCGGTTGCTGCTGTCCTCAACATGCCATGTTACCATGTGGACAATTGGGCTCAACGTAGTTGTTTTCGTTGGCTGGATCGGACGAGATCGGAATAATTGTAGCACTAGAAAGTGGAGTACAACTGGCCATAAAAAGAGAAGGAGGGAGTTGCATTGCTTTTACAAGGATAAAATTTATCTCTCAAGGAGATGTAGAACACTTGAGCTTGAATTAAGCTGACCTCGATAGATTTTTGCAACTCCGCATACATTATGTGGCTGTGTTATTTGTTTGCGTTTGCCTTTTTTGAAACCCCAGTATTCTGTGTACTCTTGCCTATTTCTCATTTGATTTTTTTCTTTCTAGACTGCTTTATCAAGCTAAATGGAAATTCGCTGTACATCTTAAAATAAAATGAACGAGTTGAAATTTGTGACACTTTGTACCCTTAGGTTCAAAGATGGCAGCTGCTTAGGTATCATAATAGCTCAGCTCTTACTAGTGTTTGAGTTTCTCTTGGTATGGAAAATCTAGCAAGCATTACTGTAGCTTTCCTTTACTTTTTCAAAGGAAAAAAGTAGATTGTACAAAGGATTTTTATACTGTAAATATCAAAACTTTGTAAACAGATGAACTGTAGGAGAGCTTTTTCTGAAAACTGATTCTCCAGCATCCAGGAATTTGTTCTATATCATGGGCAACATAGTCTTGTTTTCCAATGCAGAACATTTAGATGACAGTTTTGCTGTTGTTTTGTATGGTGGCAAAATATAAATGAGCAACATTATTGGCCATGTGACAGAATTGTTATGCGACTATGAATTACTGCTGTTTCGGATCAAGGTTTTGACATTTCTTCTTTGGAAGGGTGCCGCTTGACTACTGTTTCATATTAGGCCTTGACAGTTCTTTTTTGAAACCAAATCGATCATCTTTCACGATATTGCTGATTGATAGACAACTTGGTCAGTCACATTGTTAGTTTCCTACTTTCAAATCCCTCACCTTATGGTGCATACAAATTTTTCCAGAAGTGAATACCAGATATTTTTAGGTAGAATGATTCTATACCTAAAACTAGTAATAACCAAAGGTTAAGGAGTACGGGTGACAACGATCGAACGTTTTTGCTCTAACACCGTGCTTTGCATAAGTTTCACATGACAGATGGTCAAAACATGCATGATCAGATTACAAGTGATCAAAGGTCCAAACGCGTGCGACCAAAATGCGTAATGTGCATTCCATTTACTCTTAGTGGAAGTCCACAGGAATACTGGCTACATACATGCGACACATGCGTAATAACAACCTGGAGATTCGGATTGTTCCCTCAATAATATATTGACTAAGTGGATTGCAACGCATCTACAGTGAACTTTCAAATTCAAATTTCGCACTTTCGGCATATGTATATGATTTAATTTTTTCCTTGGTATGGATTAAATTTTGTTCTTTTTGTTTCAAACTCATTATCATACATTACCATACCCCAAAACAAAAGAAAATTAAACGTTAACCAGGGATAAAATTGAACCACAACATAGGCGCCAATCAGATCAGTCAGATTTAATCTAATTTGAGCAATTAGCACCCGGAAAAAAAACTGCCACTATTGCCATGGCCTGTCATTTTTTGCCTACCTTTGACTAAATTTGAACTTAATCAAACTCACTTGAGTGGATTGAGTTTGATAAAGTTTGATTAGTTTGATTAAGTTCAGTTGGTTTGATAATCAAACTCACAGAAAAAGTTATCATTGTCTGATTATGTAACTTCAATAATAACACTTTCAAAAATGTTAAAAAAATACAGGTCTTGTTCTTGTACCAAGCCGTTCAATAGTGTTGTCCAGTTAAATTATGTTCGTTTGCCCAACTCAAATGAACTCAACCCATGGATTGAGTTTGATCAAGTTTGATTGAGTTTGATAACTGAATGTTCAATTGATTATACATGTATCTCTTTGGCCCTGTTCAGATGCCAAACTTTTCATGAGCCAAACCTAATACATTGAATTAAGTACATGAAAAGTTTGCCGTCTGAATCACTTTGGAATGCCTGTTTCAATTTGGAATGGCTCTGCCATTCTTTTTGCCTGGCCCGGCCGGGAGTTTTGCCTTTGGAGCGACTTTGGTATGGCTTTGATTCAGACGCCGAACTTTTCATGTACCGAACCTAATGTATAAATTATTGTTATAACGTATTTTGAAAGTAGTTTGACTGAAATGAGCATTTTTCTCCCTTTGAATTTAGTTTGGCTGGAATTAAGATCGGCATCTGAATCAATTCAGCCAGTCTAAATAATTTGGGCTGGCCTTAATTCGAATTAGGTTCAGCTCATGAAAAGTTCGGGGTCTGAACTGGGCCTTACCTTAGATCACCTTATCTGGACTATTCTTACCACTTCCTTGGTACTGAAGATTTCCCTACAGCCGGTTTTATTGTGTGGAATAGTTTGAAATTGCTGCATGGATTTATGAGGTTGTACGGAAATTGAGCCATTGGTTCTTTCAAATGGAGCTTTAAAAGTTCTTATGTGGTTGACCCAAGTTGCATGATCACGCCAGCTGGCGGAATAGAGGGGCTGGCTGCGCGTTGAAAAGACATTATTGAAACGGATGGAGCCATCAAGTTGTAAAAGCATAAGTTTTCAAACAGAAATGAAATCTAAATTGTAGGTGAACAAAAGATCTAATAAATTTACTGATGAGTTTAACTGCATGCACTGAGAATCACCGTTTATTACTGTACCTGCAAGCTCCGAATTGTTCCTTCTCTGTTCTTGTAAACTGCATAGAAAATAGCTGAAACGGCAGCACTACCCAAACCAGCCCATAAACAAAGGTAATCTGACATTCTTAGTACTAATATGACTATTTTATAGTGTTTCAAGGGGTTCTTCTTTCGCTATCGGAAGTTGCCATATTGCCTTGCCTTGACTGGTTGCCAGTCCTGCGCATGAATGATTAGGCGTCCCATGTGATTTTTGGATTGATATATGAAAAGATTCGCTCTCCACTCAGCCATAGCTCCCGTAGCACAGTCGGTTAGAGCGTCGTACTTATAAGCAGTACTGGCATCTTGCCAAGGGTGCTAATGATATGCGAAGGTGCAGAACTGTTATAGAATTCTGCTTTGGTCTGAGGTCTATCAAATCAATTTATTCTTCCTTTACGAACGTTAAGAAAAGTATATTTGATGGCCAGATCAGAAATGAGGCCATGAGTCAAGCAATGACGAGGGATCGTTTTATTGATACAAAGTCTTATACACAATTGCCTCATCAAGTCAAGTGCAGTCTTCAAAGATCTAAATTTGCATATGTCCTTCAGCCACAGCTCCCGTAGCACAGTTGGTTAGCGCGTCGTACTTATAGGCAGTACCGGCACAAAGCCAAGGGTGCTCAAGATATGCGAAGGTCGGGGGTTCGAAACCCCCCGGGAGCAAGAGCTCTTTTTTTCTTTTCTCCATTAAAAGATTACACCTACTTCACATACTTTTCTTAGTCCAAAAAGAATGCAATAAAAATCAAAGAACAAAAAAAAATTTAACTTCATAGCTAAATTCATGAAAATGGCAAATTTGGCACCCAGTCTCCCCGCGCCAGGCAGCTGCCTGACGGCGACTACCGGGCTGCCAGGCGCCAGCCTTTGAGGCGGGAAAACATGACATAAGTGGCGGGAATTTTAAATTGCAACCCGCGTCAAAAGACATTTTTTTTAAAGCAGACAAGTTGACACAACTCGGTAACCTTCTTCCTCGTTTGTATCAATTTTAAAAACATACCTCTTTTATTCACATTATTCGGTTGTCGTTCCGTTTCAGTAGTACGTGGAAAGTTGGGAGGTGTCTGTTTATGACGGATGAAAAACGCTGGTGAGTATGCGGGCTTGTAAAACTGTTCTGTTTTGGTGTAGAAACACAAGCGTAATCCAAATGTGGGACTTAAAGCTTTATCTCAACATTTCACTGTATTGTTTGGCAACCTCCATTTTCCTCATTTCCATAGGTAATTCAGCTTCTACCAAAGAGCCGGCGACAGGTGAATTAATATTGAAACAACGTTAATTTTACCAACGCTTTTCTGTTTTACATAAGCATAATAAAATCCTTTGCTAAAAATAAACAAAGCATAAACATTATTAAGTAAGCTTACATAATTTCAGTCACTGACATATCATAACTTCTTAACCTGCCGTGGCAGAAACAGGTCGGATAAGTTAATAACAACGATATTTTTGCACTGTTATATCTTTTAGTGTTAAAGATTCCCGAAGAAAAGAAAGATTCTTGCATTGCCGACGAGTGCGTACGGTTTTTATTCGGTCAATTTTTCAAAGAGTCCGATACTATCATAAACAAAGTACACTTTGCAGCTTTGTAGCCTTTGTAGCCTTTTCCGAAAAGACTAAGTGAGTTCCATCTTATTTAAGTAAAGAAATTGAAATGTCGTCGTATGGTACTCCTATGTAATAAAAAATTATCAATTTCTTTTTGATTTGTAGCGATGCAAAACCCAGCGGCTGTCCCAGTGGCTCCCGTAGCCCAATTCCACATTCCAAGTAAGTATCTTTTCTTAAAAGGCTGACTGAGCTCCATCTTATTTAAGTAAAGAAATTGAAATGTTTTTGAATGGTACTCCTATGTAATAAAAAATTATTAATTTCTTTTTGATTTGTAGCGATGCAAAACCCAGCGGCTGTCCCAGCGGCTCCCGTACAAACAGGCCAATTCCACATTCCAAGTAAGTATCCTTTCTTAAAAGACTGATTGAGCTCCATCTTATTAAAGTAAAGAAATTGAAATGTTTTTGAATGGTACTCCTATGTAATAAAAAATTATTAATTTCTCTTTGATTTGTAGCGATGCAAAACCCAGCGGCTGTCCCAGCGGCTCCCGTAGCCCAATTCCACATTCCAAGTAAGTATCTTTTCTTAAAAGACTGACTGAGCTCCATCTTATTAAAGTAAAGAAATTGAAATGTTTTTTTATGGTACTCCTATGTAATAAAAAATTATTAATTTCTTTTTGATTTGTAGCGATGCAAAACCCAGCGGCTGTCCCAGCGGCTCCCGTAGCCCAATTCCACATTCCAAGTAAGTATCTTTTCTTAAGGGGTTGACTGAGCTCCATCTTATTTAAGTAAAGATATTGAAAAATTTTTTTCAGTTGTCTTTTCATGTATTAGATCATATCATTTTCTTTTTTTTTTTAGCCTTGTCCACGCCTTCATGTTTACCCGCCACGGCGACAACAGAAAATCCCTCCGTTCCAGGTGATATTTTTATACATAGAATCAGCTGTAGAATACTGAGTTCATATCTAGGTAAACGTATCGAATCATTCCCTAGTCTGCTATACAGCCGCTTTTAACGCTCCTCCGTGTAGCAGACTAATCATTCTTCGAATTGTACCCGTATTTATTACAGTAAATTCACTTTCAAATTTGTTGCCTTGTTCGCGTAAAATCAATCAGAAACAAGCCGATCTATTTAAAATTCTACTCGGGAAAGGGTTGGCTCAAGAAGTTAATGGAGATAGAGGCTCCATTTGATGGGCTCCTGCAATCAGCAACGAATCAGCGAGTTAGTCTGATACAATTAGTATCCCCATGGTATTGCGAAAGACGACTTTAAACAAATACACAAACTTACCTATTTAAGTATGCTTTGATTTTTACTCTTAACTGCAGAGTGCAATGCTGCTTCAAGAATGAAGGAATTTCTTCAGAAAAATGCTGTTTCTGGGGCAAGTAAACTCAGCCAAGCGGCCAGAATGTACTTCGACACAAGAAGTGCATCTACGGTAAGAATCTGAAACCCAGCCAATAACACTCTGCATCCTTTTGCTCAATGAAGAATATTGATTGAGGATTACTTTTAAGTTAAACTTGTCTTTCTTGAACAAATATTAACAATTTCTTAATATGTCTTACAACAGATCAAATCAGTCAACACAGCGAAAGAAACATACAAAACGTGGCACGATGCCCTGTATGGTGGCGATCTTTTGCCGTGCTCGGAACTTAAAATAAAGGCTTTTTGTGCTGATTTGGCAGATCTGGGCTATGGATACCACACGATCATGACAGACTTTTATAACGGCCTGTGTTGCTGGGTTAGTATAATCTCATTCTGCTTGACAAATTCCTGTCTTGTATAGTTGAAAAGCCCATAATGCAACTCTGACCGATAAGGGAATACGGTTTTCCGTTTAATATCTTTCAAAAGATTAACTTCCTGTGGGCTACGATTATAGATGTACTAAATACAGGTTCTCTCATCGAAGTAATCAGTAAAAAGTTGGTGAAATTTACTCTTTTATCTGTCTGAGGGGTAATATCGAAGGATTCTTTCCATGATACCTGTTCATTATCCCTGCTTGCGAATTCTTCAGGCATTTATAATTACGTTATTTTCATATATAATGAAGAATAAGAAAATTAACGTTCGCGTTCTCCCGGTGTAATTACGAATCCTGAACCGGTTGTAGTTGAGTATGTTTTGGTGGCTGCAAGGCTCTGACTGAATAACATTACCCAGGACGATAGTGTGTGCGTCAAGACTCTCTTTCACTGACATTTTGCCGCCGCCATGTAATATAACTACTTAGTTGGTGTTTAACTATGCATCCCGGTTGCATTTCAGCACATGTGTATGGGACTGCCCAGTCCACGTAGGACGTACCCGGGGCTCACGGGGACATTAGATAAATTCCTGAAACAAAAAATAGGAAAAAAAAATCTATTTCCTCGCGAGCCCCTGTTTCCACAAGATGTGGAACACCTTATAGATGTATGTGGAATTGATAGCCCACAATCCCTACAAAGTGAGTATACCGAACTATTTCATTAATGTAGGGTAAATTAATATTATTTCTCTCCTGAAATAGTCGAAGCTTACATTTGTGAATTAAATTTACAGTTGTAATGTCGTCATGAAGCGCAAGAAGAAATCCATGAGGGTTATAGATACTGGGCTTCCTCCCTTAGTGTGGTCTGCATTGTTGTCTAATTGACGTTGTTTTGTTGCACTTGAGTAGCTTCAGGTTGATAAGAATTGCGATAGTACTACAATCGCATGACGATGATTCCCACCAAAGACTATGGGAAGGGCGTTCAAGAGACTGGGACTGAGGACGCAAGACTTTTATCAGAACGACCGGCTTAAAGGCTCTTCTAGGAGCCCTAACTTGACAATAAAAACCAATGACCAAATCAGAATTCCCTTGCAGTTTTATATAGTGTGTGTTTAATTATTTCCTGTTTGGAAAGTCTTTCATCTTCCCCCAAAGTTTTCAAGAGTGTAGTTACTTTTAAATCGCCCTCGCGATCAAATACTTTATTGAATTACCATTTTATGTCAAGGGACGGTGGTGAGTTTCAAGACCTACACCTTTTTAGGGGTTTCAGTCATTACCTTTGTGATGAACATTTAGGACTCCAATCAAAATAACCCCACCTTCGCAACAATGTTATGAACAGTGGGTGATGTGTCAGACAAAACAAGTGAATCTCCTTCATGAAATGAGGGCAAAAACTTCAAAAGGCCGAGACAATACCAGCATGAATGCAGGTGACGAGTACTTGCCTGAATGTAAATTCATGTGAATTCTTTGGGTGGAGTTGTAACCCCATTATTCTCTCTTGCCAAGTAGCATAGGCCTCTGTTATTTTCCACTTTGACCAATACAAAGGAAAGGTTTATTTATCTCATCGGATGGATATTAGCTTGAACCGCAGATAAACCTACCTAACCTCTGGCTATCGACCAAAGGCCTATGGGTTTTGCATCATCACTTTGAACGTTGACCATTGCATCTTCAACATGCCTTCATACCCTGGGTGCCAGGGGCTCTTTTTTTCCTGTTGTTTGCGGCGAAAATTGAGCGGCGAAGCCGCGATCGTGACAAGCGGGGAAAAAAACAGCTCGTCACGATCGCGACATCGCTGCTCAATTTCCGTCGCAAAGAACAGGAAAAAAAGCCCTCTGGAACCCTGGGCCCAGTTGTTCGAACGCCGGTTAGCACTAACCCGGGGTTAAATGTTTACCGGGCTTTCTTTTTGTTGTTATCAAAAGCACTCTCTCGGATAATTTTCTGTATTCTTTTTAGAGTATCCAATCATCGAATTGTAGGCAAGAAGAATTAAACTGAATTTGAATTTTAAGCTCCAATATCTGAGTTCAAAGTCCGCACTAACCCTGGGTTATCTTAACCCAGCTTCGAACAACCCGGCCCAGGGTAATGCCTTCCTGGCCTATCAAAAAAGGGAAATTTAAATTTGTTCATTTCAGCCGCGTTCATGTTGAGCGCGTCTTTCCATTCAGGGGCCCGACAGGGTTCCCTGACTGGAAAGGGCCATCGAAGCGACGCAGCGGAAATGATGAACATGGCCACCAATCAAGTAGCATTGGATCAATTAAGATTTCAGTGAGTATTTGACCTCATACAAGTTGTATAGAATGTTTTTAATGAATTAATACAAATTTAACTACGTCCCAATGTTAGATATAATAGCCTATTTCATAGAATTACGTTTACTTAATGCCAAACCACTGTTGGAAAGTGCGATGAATGAGGGAGTGGTTGTGTGGAACCTTCCGCCTTTTTCTTCTTCATCAACCCGTTTTTGCTGCGATGAACTTTTTGGTGATACTTTATACTAATTGGCTTTACAAAAAGCCCTCTTGAATTTAGTAATATATTTTTCCTTGACAGGAAAGACGAGAACAATCGCCTGACTCTTGTAATAGATTTTAAGAAGGAGAAACAAGACCAGGGGAACCGGTGTTACAGGTAAATCCATCGTTGGCCGCGTCTTATCCTTCACAACTGTTACATTGTAATACATTTAGCTGAAGATTTCTCCCTACCAGCTGCCGGGGAACAGCTAAATAATGATGGTTTTATTTATTCCTTGTTGTTGTTATCACCTGCACTGAAAGAATGTCCCCTAGGGGAGACACTCTATTGAGGCGGGGGTACTCAGTTATAGCAGTGATGGGGAAGCGCGAAACCCCTTTTCTATGGGATAAGAAAAATCTAGAATCAAATCGAAATTCAAATATCTGTCTTACGAAAATAGAGTTCGATCCGTGGTATCGTCCTTCGCAGCTAAAATTCGGAAAAAAATTCACAACTGTATTCCCATTTTCCCTTCCCTTTTTTGTAGACTGACAGATGCTATAAACTAGGGTAACATCCGTAAACCGCGTATTTGGCAATTTAATGGTATGACAGAAGTACGAACCTAGGGTTACGCTGGATTTACAAAGAAAACAGATCGTACAGGTCCACCGACATCGGGGTTTCCGTCATATTTGGCATGTTTTTTGAACATTCGCTTAACATCGACTCCACGTATTTGCATCTGTGGGGATAAATTCACCGTTAGTCACGCCCTCTCTTGTAAAAAGGGGGGGTTTGTAGCGCAGAGACATGACAGTGTACGGAACTTGTTAACGACATTCATCGACAAGACAAGATCTGCAATGAATTAATTAGATTTTTTGTAACGGCAGGTTGATTGTAAATAGGATTTTAATTGAGGATTTGTAATAAAGATTTTAATTAAAATTATTATTATTATTATTATTATTATTATTATTTTATTTTATTTTTATTTTTTTAATATTTTTATTTTTAAGCGCTGATGAAAATAGCAATATTGATACCGGCGCTATATAAGTATTATTATTATTATTATTATTATTATTATTATTATTATAACCAGTTTAGATGTATAGGTCTATATTGTGGACTTTATGACTGACTTACACTAGTACCTTTTTTCAGGCGTCCATTCCATTTCACTCCACTGAGCGATGGATCGCCCTACGACGCCGCTGTATTGGCATTCCTCTTCTTGTCAGTGCGAGGAGCATTTTCCCTCGCACCGATAGATGCCTATGGAAGCGGAGATTTCTCTCTCAGAGAAGAGGCGAAATCTTGGCCGCTACTCTGCCACGTCGATAACTCGAGTGGCAAGATAAACGTGAGTCTTAAATCACACATTCTCTCTGATATAGTTTCCTTTTTTCCGCTTGGTTAAAAAGTGCTTGTTATGCAGGACACACAACAGTGGAAAAACTGGGTAGAAAATTGTTCCGAGGTGTAAGGACATCACAACCATGCTTTAACTGCCAATGACTTACAAGTCAAAGGCATAACAAAAAATATGCATCCAAACAGGATGTAATGATAATTCGGTTCAGTTACTGCTCCATCCATTCATTACAAGGCACGAGGTTTGATTTAGTTGTTGGTCTGAGTGCATAATTATCAATAATTCTTTTGTCACTTCTACTGTAAACATGAATTCGGGTGACATGAGCGTATTTATATCCCTATCAATGATGCCATATGGATGTCATTTATAGACTAAGTTTTCTAAAAAATTTTTATGCAACGAAAACTTCACATTTTATGATAACAAATTCTTGCAAGTTTTCATTCCCAGATGCTGTTCACTTTAATTTCCATTTATCGCCAACGCTTAAGACAATGCAATCTTATTCCGGTGTTTTTTCTTCTTGTAGAACAACAAACCACTAACTGATTTAACCAGCCTCTTCAAGAGGGTGGTAGTGAAAGCCGGGTTTGACCCGAGGCGGATTACCCACCATTGTAACAGGTCGGTAAGTTCATTTTCTTTACTAAAACGTGGAGTCATAACTGCATGCGGAACCAATTCGAGAGAAAATAGTTTTAGTGGAAGAGAAGTCTCTGGTATGTTTTGATGGATGGACGAAAGACGCGCTCGCCGACGACTTTCTGGAAAAGGAATCTTGCTTCTCAAAAACTGGTTATGATCTTCCTTTATTCTTCTCAGGGATTTGCCACTACCTTTATAATCAACCAGATGGTTGAAAACAATGGGGTCTTTCCGCGGGAGGCAATCTCCACCCTGTGTCGCCTCGCAGGGTGGAGCGAGAAGGGGGGCACTTGGGCCCTGTATATCAAGGAGGTTATGGAGAGGCACTTGGACACAAGTGCCTACATCTACAGGTAAAAGCATGCATATGGGGTATACTTGAATCGCTTATACGTGCCAATGTTGTATGAAGAAGGGCAAATGCACGATTTATTGAAATGGCTGGCTCTTGCGCGCTGATTGGTAAAGGTGGTAGTGCATTTTTTTCCCCTTTCTTCCTTGTCTTGGTGAAAGTGAGACCCCTATTGCTGGTGGAAAGAGCCGCAATGTGAAGGGACTGAGAAAAAAGTGCTCCGGTCATCTATCCTCTGGCACTTCATCGAAGATCAATCAATCAATCACCACGTAACACCTAGAGCTCCCACAAGCTCGTAATCGAACATGGAATGTAACTGTAATTTTCTTGTGGTACTATTCAGAAGCGCAGAGGCTTCAGAGTGATCACTAAACCTTTTCGACAGTTCCTAGCTCAGCCTTTTGTAAACTTCTAGTCTCATCTCATCATTTCAAGGTTATTTAAAATCCAAAGCCGGCAAACATAAATTACTGAGCATACTGGTAAATAGAGTGGTTAACGCAGAATGAAATAGATAGAGAAAATAGATTTGAAGATAAAATCAAACCCCAGTTTACAGACACTCGTCGTTAATACTGACACTTTCTGTGGACCCGCAGTGTCCATGAGAACGTGGTTTGAGTATAGCCCCAATTTGATAATACTGTAAGACTGGGGCTTATGCCATTTCTCCCTGGAAACGAAAATATTGTGTAATTGAATTTCTCTTGTTGTGCTATTGTCATCGCAGGGATCTGAGAAACGAGAAAACTTCCTACTTAAAGGCCATAAAAACAAGTTTTAACTACCGTCTGGTTAAACCAGAAAAAAACTTGGTCACAAGAGAAGATTGCCTTCAAGCCGACGAATCATCATTCCTCGAATTTGAGGATTCGTTTAGTGACGAGGTGTTGAAAACAACGATAGGGGAGGCGAGTGAAGGTAAATAAATTATTCCATTTCTTAAAAGACATGTTCGAGAAATTGAGCGATCACGAGTCTTTAACATCCTAAACTAGAATAACAGTCTCTTTTCTCTTTACACATACAGCTCTAAAACGCCTCAAGACCGGAACCAATCCAGAGGAAACTTTTAATGGTAAACATGAGGATTACATTAAATGGCTTAAAATTTTTTAGGGTAGTGCGGTCACCTTTGAGGTACTTTCTCAGTTTCCTTTTTCCTTTTTCAGACCAGATTCCTGAACTATGACTTTTATTTGTTTCCCATGAAAGTACTTGGAGCCATACGCATAGTAAGCGCGGCAGATACCTATCGCCGGTCATTTCATGTATTAAGCTTGTCTGAATCTGATTCATACTATTTAACTCATGCGACCACTCAGGCTATTTCTCAATTTACCCTTTCCTTTTTTCGGGGATACCATACTTTACTAAAAACAGGTGTGGATGATGACCTTCCTTACCAGACGTTCAAATGCCCTTATAAATTGATGACTCTCTCGGCTGTCTCCACCTCCTTCTCACACGTTATGAGGAATAGTTGGACATAAGCATTTAAGATCTGTTGGTTTGACTATGTGGCGAGATATTTAAGTAATGATCCGGGTAAGGTGGATAGCAATTTCTTTTGTTATGCGGCAACGGTGCTTTCCCCACATAGGAATGTTCTCATTTTTACACAGAGAATGGATAAACCTCATGAAGGCCGTTTACCCAATAAAATGCATTTACACTCCACTTTGAAAAGGTGTTTTTTTGTATTAAAAGATTTTGGCCAATGACAAGAGTTGAAAACAATAGCCAAGAAAAGTTTACAATTTTACATGTTCCCCACATAGGATTTTTTTGTTATTCAAACTGAGACTAGATTTTGTTATATGGAAGATGGCTGGAAAGTAAGGATGAATATATGTACTGCTTTATGCAGTTTTGTTAACTTTGCTGTTTAAGCCAATCAGAAGTAAGCACAGACAATAGAAAAGTTAGCGTTTTTTTGGCATTCCAACATGTTTGTTGCCGTTGTTGCTATCGTTCTTATCTGGACCGTTTCTTAACACTTTTGGCCGTATTACATAAGATCCGATTGAGCCAATTGATTCTTATCTTTTGATCATAGGTTTAAAGCGGGAGAAGTTAGAGACCCGCCTAAAAGCTGCAAAGTTGCGTGCAGTGGCTCATTATGCCACTGCACGTAACAATGAAAATCACGACAGGCAGTGGGCACTTCCCCAAGCACCCAACCCCAACAAGGAGGTAAGAGTCCTATATAATATTAGAGAGCATTCCTCATATTTAATCGTGAAAATAACGTTCCCTAAAAAGAACCAAGTTCTCAACTTATTTGGAGGGTCCATTCAAATAACTCTTTGACAATATATATTTGTTATTATTGACCTGAAATGCGACGACGACGGTGACGGCAACGGGAACGTCAAAAAGGCAATACGTTGCGATGATCTAAGATTAGCAAAATAACAACTTTGCACGTGTTTTGTACATTTCTTTGCCGTCACAGCACGACTACCACGTGAAAATGCCTAATTTTACGATAGACAAGCTACTACGAAACTTTCCTTCTCTTTCTGAACCTGGATATGGTTTTTAGGAACTCTGGGAGAGTTCGCTTCAAAATTTGACAAAGAAAGTTAGTGGGAACTGTCGCGACGAAGGTTGAATGAACGCAAATTCACTTGTTGCCGCTGACGTTTCCTCCCTCTGTTCTTAAGGTCACTATTGATGGGGGAAGGGGAGCGGTCTTGTATGTGCTAAAACGTAAAGGTCTCCCAAATTTACAATAGGGAGTTTGAGAATTACTAAGACTAGATGACGACAGATACGCAATCGCCATTTGCCATACTTTGATGACTGAAGAAAAACTATCCTGGACATGAATTCTTTTGTGATAAATTGGTTGTCGCCTGCTTATGTCCGAAGTTGCGCAGTTACAACAGAGGAATGTACACAAAAGGGTGTTTTCTTACCGAGGCGGTATTTCACAATAATTTTTGCCCATCGTGACATCTTCAATTCACCAATATTTAACCTTTCACTTATTGCAGGCATTCAAAGATCCCTTGTCGATAACAGAATTTTTGGAGAGAAATATGCCCCTTGTGCAGAATGACCTAGCTCTGAGGAGGTTTTCCCCGGTGGATTACGGGCAGCCCCTCACGGAAGCTGTAATTTGTCCTTACAGTGGCTGCCCGTTCTCCACCGGCGATGGAGAGGCAATGAAACGGCACCAACAAGAGAACAGGCACCCTGGATGGGGGCGCTACAATGAAAGACCCGTGGAAAAGAAGTGGATCTGCCCTAAAGAGGTATGCGGGGCATCCTTTTTGGCCTGGGACCATCTTTACCGTCATATGATGGTCCACTCAAGGCCACTAGGGTGCCCCGTATGCCCCTTTAGGGCCGCCAAGAGCACCTGCCTAAAGAGGCACATGAAGGATAGCGGGCATGACACGGCGACAAAGGCCGACGAAAGTCATGTCCATTGGAAGAGGAAGAGGGGAAGCTCGGTACTGAAGGAGCAATAGCTTCTCTCCCGGCTTTCAGATTCAGGCCCCAACCACCCGTGTCCGGATGTTTCTGAAGACGGCGTTTTCTCCTCCGTTTCAGCCTTCCGTCCACACAACACCGGCGTTTTTGGCCATTCCAACCTCACATTTTGAAAACCGGGTCCCCTGAAAGACGAATCTCGCATGAGGAGGCCGGCTCTGATCCTCGTGACATGTAGACCGTTGGTTTAATCCACATACAATTAGCCTTCCCTTGCTCTGCTCGAAAAGCTCCTTCGTTTACTGATGACAACGATTGAAGAAAGGAAAATGTGGACGCGTATGATTTTAAAAACGGTGTAAAATTCACTGATCCGGACATCTGTGGAGAGGGCCTGACTCTTTAAAAAGGGAACTGTCCTATTGCTCCTTCAGTATCGATATCGATCCCACAATCAAGGAACTCGATTATAAACAAGTACAATTAGTTTATACCGGTCTTAGATAAAGACGGGCTGGGCACAAAGGTAAGAATGGGGTCTCTTTGTGCACACCGTCATTGCCAGTTCTTGGGCAGTCCACTACTTTGTACTCGCTGTTAATTGAGCTTTGTGTCTCACTGAAAATTACGTTTGAATGGGCGAAATGTACGTATACGGGTGCGTCAACCACAACATTCATTTCGTATCCGCGGTCGCCGGCACTACTTTGCCAACGTGGGATTTGCAACAAACGTTTTTAACTCGCAACGGCGTGAAATTGGCGACTGTATCCCCGAACTTTTATGAAGCAAGTAAAACCCGATGACATCAAAGAAGCCCCTTCTTAAAATATTGTTGCACTACCATCTTTCATTTGGGCAACATGACATGGTCTGGAGTTCCATGTGAGATTTCTAATGCGAGTTTCATTCAATGGAGGGTGCTTTTCTTTTGGAGGCGTGAATGTCATTTTTATAAACATCGTCCTCACATTAGTATCACTTGATGTATAACTTATTCATCGCCCAGGAGGTGTGTATAGGCCACTTGCACTAAGAGGTCATGTGAGCAATTTGACAGGAAACGCATCTAAGGGAGATATTTTATGGCACTTTGATTTTTCAATAAAGTAGTATGCTTTCCATTACTACCGCCATGCATGTTGGAGGGCATACTCTTGCCCTCCAACATGGCGGCCAAAACTTCTCAATGCTTATATCTTGTTAAACGTTTAAAAGTTACGCTCAGATATGCTGTAAACGTCCCCACATCATCTTCTCAAAATTTTCCCACAAGTTTAAGTACAAAATTTACGTTCAGAAAGAGGTAATTGATAACTTTAAAAATCACATTTTGATCACACGACCAGCTACAAACTTACTCAATTTAAGAAAATTGTTCGTGTTTTAAAACCAAATCATATGACCCACTAATCGTTTTTCGAAGGCACACTCATATATAACTTTCATTTTTACAAAAACGATGTCACATGACCCCTTAGTGCAAAATGGCCTGTTGAGTGAGGTCTTGAGTACCGTCAGAGGATTACAATAAATTATTTGTAAATATAACGGACAACAAATTAGTGTTCAAGTACCTGTGGAATTGAGTAAAGTCCCTCGAGAGCGGTTTGGGTCGCTTTTCTTTCCCGGTTTTTATCGTTTACGTAACGTCATAAGCTCTTTTTATCATTGCACAATCTTAATTAGTGATGACAAGGCTATTTGTTAGGGCCGGTTTATCTCATTACCTAAAATTGTGAAAGGAAAACTAGACATGACTAGTAATATGACTTGAGGGCCGGATTTGAGCAAGTTTGACAATTCACACTGTGACATAAACGGGTCACCCTGATTTTACATAAGAAATTAATCGATGAGTCACAACAAGTACGATATGTCGGCACATATGAAAGTAATTGCTTTGCAAGTCAATTTTTCTTAAAATGTGTACCTTTATCCCACTGTACATATTTGTCAGATTTTGCAGTATGTGTGTATGCTAGCCTTACATTGTGACCACTGGGGTACATTACTGCAGTTTCTAAAGAAACGTGCGTTATTTCCATTGTCGCGTGTAGTGTGTAGCATTCATAGAGCATGTATTAATGCAAGTAATATCCAGATTAAACAAAGACACAGTTGTACTTGTGGTTTTTTCCTTTTCCACTAGATTTTCTAAATTGCGCGTCGACAATCATCCAAGACGGTAAATCAGTGATGATCGGCCTTCATTGGCTCGATTATAAAAAAAATAGAGTCGCATTGAGTCCCAGAGTGGGGTACAAGTCCCAGAGAGGGGGTATTCCCCATAACCGCTCACTCAGGGTGGCTTCGCCCTTGTTAAGGCCTCACGTGTACCAAAGGGTAGGGACTTTACTCGTTGAAGTATACTAAAGGGTAAATAAAGAGTATAAATAAAGGTCTGTGAAAGGGCTAACAGATGAATGTTATGGCAGCTATAGATTCGAGAAAACGTTCCATTTTTGCGATTGATTCCTATCACTTTTGAACAGACCGTGCATTCACAGCCGGAATGCAAAGTTCTAAACGAGGTATGTGTAAGAGGTACCATTTGTCCGTGATAGAATAGACTGCTTGCGGACCCTATTTTCTCTTAAAATTTGTCTAGTTCTTATCTCAGCCGGCGCTATTGCAAACCACAACGTTATGTTGGCTCGAGGCTTTGCCGCTCGCGTGCTTGATTTTTCGCGTGCAGTAACTTGGCAAAGACAAAAAAACCGTTATAGGGGAGGGGGGGGGGAGGGGAATTTTCGAGTCGCAGGAATTTTTTTTTCGTTATCAAATTCCTTGCATGAATTTTTTTTAGGCCATAGCATGAATATTTTTTAGGATTAATTGGCGTGCAAGAATTTTTTTCATTTAATTTTCCCTTGCGCGAATATTGTTTTTGTACTTCGCCCGCCCCCACATAAGTTTTCTAACGGTCTGTCCCTAAGAGACTGCTCGCAGTCTCGTGATAAAAGGTATGCGGAAAATAGCTCTAATAATTTTGCTGTCGAACCGGGCCATGCCCATTCTGGGCAATGATTCGCTTTCAGACCACCGAACAAACTATGGCAACTCAGAAATAAAAAAAATTCAGCAATCCCGACCGCTTGCTATATAGATCTCTATATTGTCGATCGTGATTCATTGAAATGAAATGGTCGTACTTTTCTGGGGAGTTTTAAAAAGTTTTCTGTGTGTTGTAATTATACCTTTCCTTACAGCAGTGCAAGAATTTTACTGGATTCCATTTTTTTCTGCTCCATCAGGGGTCTCCTCGCATTTAAACGGTGAAAATTAACTGACCTCTCAGGAAATGTACAATTAAAGTGATTGGTGCATTTCGATCTTCTGTCAATCAATCTTCAGTACTTTAGGTCATGACGAACAACTTTTCCCTTCATTTGTAAGTTAATTTCGTGGAAGAGGAAATACGTGGCGCCAATTTGTGGATAACTTGAACTTTGTTAATGGAGTTTTGCATCATTTTATTTCTTTAGCAGGATTGTCTGTTTTGAGTTTAAGACTTGACAATGTTTTACTGCGCTTGGCGCGACTAGGCACATAAACAGTGAGTGCTTCGTTAATTTATACGGTTGACCTGGCATAACTTTCAAATGAAAAAGACGGACTGCTTTGGTATTAGACCACGAAAGTTGCGGACAGAATATGATTATAAGGATTCGAGTCAAGTGTTTATATACTGGTGCTATATAAAGTTGATGAGAGCATGTGGGATCATCTTGTGCAAGATGAACGATGATTCACGTGGAGTTACAACAGCTCGAGTTTTATTTACAAGAATATTATGGACCGCTGAGATTGGAAACTTGTCACTTTTCTTGTTGTCAACAATCTAATAAATTAGCAGAAGAAACGATTTGAAATGATTATCTGAGATTTACAGGTTTGAGCTAGAAGCGGTGAGTAGATTCCTTGCATCGTGTTTGAGTACAATGGAATGTTTTCGATATATCTGTTACGGGATGTTTAATATTTAAATAAAGTTTTTTGGACAGCACACGATTGTAGTGTACTTACTTGGGAATTAATGGGTGAAACTGACCGTTTTTGCTGACAGTTTTGCTTGTGTTTGAGTGTAGCGGTCGCGACGCCGCGAAGGAGTTGTTTCCCATTCATCTTTCCCGGCGTTAGCTTTAAGTTTACTTCTGAGAATTGATGACTTTTGGATCTCCCAGTATGAAGGTAACGTATTCAATTTCAATACATTACAAGGGGCAGTCAGAAATCTTTTTCTCTTTTTTTCCCCAAACTTCTCACACAGGTTTTGGTGATTTTTGACTTGACTTGACGGTCGTTATGAGTTTAATGCACGAGTTTGGCGCGTCCTTCGCTTGCAGTCGAGAGAAGAAAACAAGGCGACCATTGTCTACGCTGAGCCAGGAAGGAGTTTATTAAAGTTGGTGAGTGACTAATTTGCTTATTCGTAGATGAAATGTGTGTGTTTTTTTTCTGTTAGAAGTTGAGATAAACTTTACCATGTCAAAACAAGCCCGTATAAAACATGTACAGCGACAATGCGAGCAAATGTAAACACCAACCTTCAGTTGTTGACTCGTAGACTGCAAATTTTGCGACATTTACCACTTCTTTGTATCTTTTTACAGACTTTAATGTGTCGATTACGTTGACAAAGTTCTGCCGGCTCTTTTTGTTTCATTCATTCTCGATCTTTTTGTTTTCGTTTCGCAATTACTAATACATTACGGCTCTTCTCGCATCGATCGACGCGACTCGACGCGCTGGCTGTCGACGCAAATTTCGCCAAAAAAGCTGAGGGGTGGGTCTCTTCGTGTGGTGACGTCAT